GAGTTACAAATTATGCTTACTAACTATAATACTTACAAGTAATACAATCATTGAAATATTTAATGATGTATTACGTATTGGATGTGTGTAAATATATTAATTACGTTTTCGAAGAACATAATATTTTTTGTTGATGAAATAACAAAATAAGTACTATAACAACTATGTGTATAATAACATTGATAAACTAATAAAATGTTAGAAAAGCATTTAAATAATGATTATATTTATAACTTTTAAACTTAAGTTTAAGAAAATTTATTACCTTGTAATAATATTTTACAAAATTATAATGATTTTTAAAATTAAAATATTATTTGTTATGAAATTACCAAATAATAAACTTTTATTATAATCATTGAATTGTTTCTATAAATAATATCAACTTTATGTCTAGATATTATATTATATTCATTTACTTAGCACAGACACATAGGAAAATTAGATAAGTTATCTAAATTAAATTAAACATATGCATCGAATAACTTTATAGGTACTATCTAATAAAAAGTCTAAATATCATACTTTCGTACATTGCTATTAGTCACCAATATTTTTTAATATTTGTACACGATAGGTAACAAAATAAAAGTCATTTCATGTGAAATAGTTTGAACAGGTGTAGCTAATGTGAATGATTTATTAACTAACATAGTTTAAAGATGCATTTACATTGTTGATATGAACTCTGATACGTAGGTATATATAGGGCTGTATTTGAACATCATTTGACCCGGGACAACATATTTCTGCCCCCTTTCTATAAAAAAATAAATATATTTCTTAAAATGTCAAGTATAAAGCTATTTGTGTGATAAGCAATGTGAGTTCAAAAAAAAATTGATTTTACTATCTATTCTACCCACATTTATATAATATATTGGTAATTATATATTTATTATGTATATGTATGTTTCTTAAATTTATTACTAGATGTGAACTAGTGGTAAAGTGTATTAATTTTTTAACTTATATTTGAATATTTATGTTTAAGTATTTAGTGTATTATAAGCACATATAAATTATTAATTATATAAGTATATACTCGTATATTCGTATAACGCTTTAACAACGCATACTATATATATTATTATTTACTATACACTTTTGATAATATGACGCATTTATACATTTTAATGATGTGGACTTTTCATGGCTGTTCAGTGTTCCAAACAATATTTTTCGAAGTAATAATAAAAAAAAAAAAATTCAAAGATATTTAATATGTAATATTTAAAAACTATTAAAAATGTGTTGCTAACTTAATTAATAGGAAATTTAAATTGACTGATGAACAACTTCTTAAATTTTTTTTAGAAGCTTTTGAAGAAATTGCAAAAATAGTTTTGTAAATAACTATTTATTTTATTTTTTTAATTTCATTGAGTATAACATCGTTTCATATATTTATAAATTAATAAAATAGATGGAGTGTTGTTATAAAATAAATTCGGGTTCAAGGCTTTTAAGTACTTATAAATGTTGTTGGTTTGGACTCATGAATCTTTGCCATTTGTTAGTTTGACACGACCTGGCAACCTTAATAGATTATGGCTTTAATTAATAATGATTGTTTAAACACACAATTTAGTCCAAATTTGAATTCAAATATCTGTAAAAAAAAAATTTCATAGGTTTTTTTGGATTTTTAAGTTCCAGTATTAAGATTTATGAGCAATATTTTATTAAATGTTCGAATCTTAATTATAAAAATTTAATATTTTATAATTTTTTTCTACAAAATACTTGTACATTGTAAATTTTCGTAGTTTTGACGAATTTGTAAAAATTTGAACTTTAAATACATAATAAAAAACGTATGCGAAATCTTGTATTAAAATTTTAAGTATTTTGACCTAGTATATAATTTCTCATGATGCTTATAATATTTCAAGATGAATCAAAATTAAAAATACCATGTATAGAAAATGTATAAAAAATAATATAAATATTTCAAGTTTCTACAGTAATTCATTTTTAATTATAGCAAAATAAAGAAATACATTTTATCGAAAACTAATATAGTGAAAAAATTCATTTCAATTTTTATATTTGTTCTTACTTTTTTTTTTTTCGTTTATTAAGCAAAATATTGGGAAATTTTTAATTTAAAATACTCATGATTGTAAAATCAATATATTCATTGCTCTAATCACAATCTAAAATCTCTGCAGAATATGCAAAAATAAAGTTTAAAAGTTTTCAAGACCTACCTATTTTATTCAAAGTCATGAAATTAACTTAGCTTGAATATTTAGTAATATAAATCTAATAAAAAAAAAAAAATAACAAAACAAAAATACAGAAAACTTTGAGCCATTAATATCTAGTTAGCGCGATTATAGATAGCTTTCTGTTGTTTATTGTCAAGTTATTAATATAGTCTATGCCCTGGAAGTTTACGTATTTGCGTATGTTTGTACTGGGTGGGTCAAAAAATTTCTAAATTAGCAATTTACTATAATATTATATATTATATATACTTATATATTATTTTATACTTGTATTTTCTAAAACCAATAGTTATACTTACAAATCTAAACAAAAAAAATTTAATTTTGTATGTATTTGCATATTTTGAGGTTTTTATTTATTCACATATTATTCAAATTTTTTTTTTGTTAACTGAAGATAATTAGTGTTAAATATTATGTAATTATCAAAATAAATTATTTCTAAAAAGTCTAACGATATTTATAGTTGTATTTGGTGGTGTGGCGCCAATCAAAACTGATTATGAATTTTAATGTTAAAAAGAAAAAAAAGAAAAATCATGTTAATTTAATAATTTATATTATTTTCTATTTTTTTTTTTTTTTTTGTATTTAAATTTTGAGTTTTTTTTTTAATGTATAATATAATTTATAATTACCTGTCAATGAAATAAAAATAAAAATAGTAGTATCAAAAGATTTATATTACTTTTATTTAAAAATTTAAAAAATAATTTAAATGCAACTTGTATTCCGGTAGTTTCTTGTATATAATCTTACGGGTACTAACTCAATACAATGCGTATATTAACTATTAAGTATTACTGTTTAGTTTTCAACTTTATTTATTGACCAGATTAAATTGAATAATTTTTTAATTAAACATAACATTTTAGTATCATGTTAAATATTAATGTAAAATATTTGAGTCAAAACAATATTATGATATTGCCGGTAGATGACAAACTAAACATGTGCAACTAAAATTTTAGTTGTCACATAAAAATAAGATGGGTTTATTAAGTATAGTTAATATTATAAACTATGTATTTAATTTTTTGAGTCACAATATGCGACTACCTATGTCCTATAAAATAATAAATTATATATTTTTTATTTTTTTTTAATGGGCAGGGCTGGCCATCCGGGCTTATATACCTACTAATGTATTAATATTTTGATGATAGTAGTGTAGTGTAACATTAAGTGCGAGTAGATTACTAAACGGTTTAGTAACCGACAGAATGTAGATAAATTGTATCTATAATCTATATTCTATATCGTGATACTCACGAACAATTTTAACGACGTTTGTAATTGTATTATGTAACTATATGTAATAATATGGTATTGAACATCTTATATTACGTACAGATTATAATTTATAATATTACATCAATACTTAAGTATACAAATATGACTAGTAAAAGTACCTACCATTTACTATAGTCATAGGGCTGATGGTAGACTTAAAAAAACACGATAAAAGCGAGCACATATGCTCTTATATCGTTTTTAAAGTTTTGATTAATAAATAGCTTTAAAATAAGAAATTAAAAATTACATTAATTACAATGATTACCTACTTTTAATGTATTTCATATCATTGTCTAATAAATAAAAACAATTATCTAAACAAAACCAACTTTTATTTTTATTTATTGGGGAATAGTCATTGATTTAAAACTTGCAAATATATTCAACATAAAATTCTAGGTTTGAAAATGTCTGGACAAGAAACAGACTTGTATAAAGTTGGCCCTTTGTTACGATTGCATGCGCAAGACAAAATATATGCAAATACTAGAGGTCCTCTGCCCTAAACGTATAATACCATAATAGTAATATAATATTAAAGTATCCAACTCATAAGTATACCGGGGAGGGGGAGAGGGGTAGATAAATAATATGCAGAGCGTAGTGTTATAGTAGTACCTACTGAATAACAAATATAGTACGTAAATAAAAATAAATAATAAGACGATAAAGACACAATTGCGTGAACACGGCAAGTAGTGACTGTCCGTCGGGTAAGTATACCACGTCGAATCGAATAATAATAATAATAATAAAATATGTGACGTGTTTTATTTTTTTTTACTCGGTACAGAATAAAATTATTATGTTGTTGTTGTGTAAATAATAATAGCGATGTAAACGCACACAAAGCACAAAGCGGCGGGAGCGACGCGCCACACGCGCACGTTTCGGGTCGGTGTCGTATGTCGCACGTCTTCTCCGCCCGCCGCCACCACCGCACCGCCAAGCGGACGCGAAGACCGGCAGCTGGGACGACGATGACGACAGTCGCTTTTGTAGTCTGCTTAACCCGCCGCCTCCGCCGCCTCCGTCGCCGCTTTGGCGCACACACGCCTTTCATCAACCTTTGTAAAATAACAACATAATAATAATATTTTATTTTCCGTCGACCGAACCACAGACGACGACGACGAGGACGAAATCCTCGGGTCCATCTCCCGCGGTCGTCGCCGAAACAGAATGTAGGCACCGAACGCAGTGATAAGAATAATTACGGCAGGGAAAAAAAATCCAAAAAGAAACAAAGAGACGGCAAGAAACGGTGCTATAAAAACCTAAATCGCTGTAAGAAAGACACAGCACTACGCACGTTATTGCTGCGTTATTACTAGGTACTGGGTAGTAGGTATTATTATTATTATTACAGTATAATATGCACAGCTGCGGCGGCGGTGGTGGGGTTCACCACTCTACTCATCACGAGCAACTCAACCGATGCCCCTCCTCCCCAACTTCTCCGTAAAAGGACGTACACGCACCCGCGCGCGCCGCCACCGCTACCGCCGCCGCCGCCGCCTCTGCCCAAAGGTGTACACTGTACAAGTGTACCGTACACCGTAAGCGAACAGTCCGCGCGTTAACAACCCATGACGTCTCCTATCATACACTAATATTATTAATATTCGTGTTATTATCTCCGTCGTCACTCTTCGCAATAATCACAATAATAGTAATAATAATAATAATAATTCGTCCGATAAAATAATAAAATATATGTATATATTACAATAACCATTCGATAATATTATAATTATTAGTTTTATCATTTGTATCGTTATTCGAGTCAATCGTACGCCATCGTTGATCGTGCGGGTCGAGTTGATCGACGTCCGACAGGTCAGAACCGATCTGTACGCGTTCGCCGCGGCTACAGCATCCGCAACGAGCACTTTCGGCGGCGTAAGTACACGTTTTCGAGCTGTCGAGACTTGTTCGCGAGCTGTGTTTTTTTTTCTCAATATTATCGCTGCCGACCGCTGTGTGTCGGTCGTCTGTGCGTGATTTTTTTTTTTACTCCACAGTCCACAGTTGCGCGCGCGTCGAGTTGTCGTCGTCGTCGTCGTCGTCGTCGCAGTGCATCCGCTCCTTTGTCGCCGTCCCTTCCTGTCCGCCGCGCGCAACCGCTCTCGACCGGTGTCCCGTGCTCGACATGACCAGAACTTCGTAGTCAGTGAGTGATTTGACGACGACGACCGTGTGCGGTGTCTTCGTGTCTCCGTTGGACGGTGTCAGGCGCCTATCTATACCTACGCCACTTGCGACGACGAGTTTTCGCATTTTCGTTTGTGTTTTTCCACTGATGTTGGCTGGACAACGTCGTGCAACATGGTTAAAAGGTACGTACAGCGTATGAGACGTGTGGTAAGTCTCGAAGAGTTGGTTTTCAATTTTTCGGGGAACAGACGAATCGTTTGGTTTTTTTTCTTTCTTATTAGTGTCGTGTAATTTTTTTTTTTAATGGAATTCGACCTCAACGACACACGATATGTATTGCTGTAATAATAGTCATCTACATATGTGTTTAAATATTTTTTAATTTATTTTTGTATTCTTAGAGTTATGAGTTGCATTCGATTTTCATTTCATATTCAATATTTTTATCACTTAGTTATCAGTAGATTCTGAATCATAAATATTGACATACAATTTCAATGATATTCGTTGCCTCTTAAATATTTTTGATATACCTAATTTGCATATTTTGTTTACCTAACCATATTTTGTGGACCAGCATTTTTGTAGTTAAGTCGTCTTTAATTTGGACATTTCTTTTGTTTATTAATTAATAATAATTATATTTTGTTACATAACTTAGTATATATTTTATCCATCTATATTATCAGATTAGACTTAGACCTCTTCATCTGTTCAGGTGGCACATATATAAACCAAAACAATTTATGTACCTACCTATCTATTTATTAGTTTATGTATACATCCGTCTGAATTTCTATTATTAACACTTTTAGACATTTCATAATACACTTGGGAACTTATTTTTATAAAAGTTTAAGTTGAACATTTAATGAAACAACTATTATACCTAGGTCATCCATTCTACTTGTCTATACCATTTGATATCGCTGCCCAAAGTGTCACTTATAAATTAATTGCAATATATAGTTATAAATAATACTATCGGTTATGAATTTATGATATATACATATAATGTATTAATAAAAAAATAAGTATTGGTAAAACTCAAAAAACCAAATTTAATTTTAAAAAGATAATGATTACCTACTTAGATTCATTGACATTTGTAAGGCTAATAAAGTTAGAATATGTAATAAATAATGAGTTTGTATATTTAAACTTGAGCTTTGAAATAAACCGTAAGTATTTATATAATCAACATTAATATGGAACATGAACACATATTATATAACTTGTATATTTATGTTTAGTTATGCTTATGCATAGCTAATCTGTTGTACAATTAGGCAGAGAAAAAATCAGTCAAAATTGAACTGTATAACTGGTTTTACAACTATAGATTAAACTATAAACTTAATCTATTGACATATTTTATTTAAATTATTAATTTAGGATAATATTTAATTGAGTTTTAATTTCTCAACTAAGAATTTACATGCATCAGAACTTATTTTGTATGATTTGTTTAACATTAAAGTAAATTAAATTATTAATAATTATTGTTATTTAATTATATCAATCCTAAAAGTAAAAATATTATTCAGAGCATCTTGTTGACTTTTATTGATTTTAAATAATTGTTATGTGAGTTATGTTAGATATTAAAATTTTAATTTTAACAGTTTTAAATTCTTATTATGATAATTTAATTTAATTTTTGTTTTTTGTTCTATTTAAACGTTGTTTTATGTTGTGTAAATGACATTTTGTGTTACATTTTAATTTTAAAAATATATTCTAGAAAAGACTTCAAAGAAGTTGTTTTTTTAATTTTTTGATAATTTTTGAATTCTAAGAAAAATTTGTTTGAAGAAAAAACAGCTATACCTAATCATTATTTTCTTCTTTGTTATAAGTTGAATTTACTTAAAATTTTGTCTTCTATCTTAAGGAATCTCAGACATATGGTATACATCAGCGGTTCTCAAACTGTGGTACGCGAAAGACTACATGATGGTACGCGGAATTGCGGAAGGCCACATGGTGGTAGGATTTTTAATCATCAGTGGTATGCGATTGATTGATAATATACTTAAGTGGTACGCGAAATAAAAAGTTTGAGAACCGCTGGTATACATTATATTTAAGCAGGCAGAACTAATGGGCAGTGGGCAATCAGATAAAGTGCATTATGAGATCCCCAACAAAAATTAAAAGTTTTAAATTTTATTGCCATAAAAATAAAGTAAATAAAAAAAAAAATGTATGTTGTTAAATATTAAATAATTAACTATACTTTTGTCGGTAAGTATTTTGACAGAGAAGATTGATACGTAATAAGAAATGTTGATAGTCTTGTAAATATGAGTTGTTTTTAAAGTTTTTATATAACCTAATCATGGATTATTTAGTCATATAGAAAATAAATATAAAGTATTTACTTTATGTTTCTATACAAATATTAATAATAATATGTGATAATTGACAAAACAGTCAAATTTGCTTATAATGATCTTCAATGGACCTAGAGAATCTAATCGTTATAACTAAACTTTGTTATATCCAGATTTTAAAAAATAACTAGATTTTTTTGAAAAACTGATTTATTAAACACATTTTTTTACTGTATTATTTTATTTAAGATTATATATTTTAACATTAAAGGTATTTATAATTTTTAAGTACACACATACATAGTACATATTATATGTTTATCATTTGTTTTAAAAATAAACTGTTATAGTGCTATGTTTATAATTTGAATAAGATTTTTTAATAAAATCAAAAATATTTATTAATGTTATTGATATTTCTGGCGTATTTATATCTCTGTTTACCGAAACAAAAGTATGCACCTGATCAATATAAAAATAAACTTCCGAAATAGACGGTACTTTAAATAAGTATGCCGTATACAATATACGTGTCTTACAAGACACATTATCTGTTACAGATAAGATTAAGAAATTATTAATGCTTCGAACGAAATCAAATTTACTACTTGTGCATGTATTATTAATTACTATAGGCAAATATAAAAACCCATTTTTATTTCAAAATAACATTACTGTATCTGGATTATCATAATATATGATTAAAAATACTACACATAAGATTTAAAACCAACCAAATACATTGTTTGGAATCATTTTATTTGGAATATTGTTATATACGGCATTGTACTAACAAATTCGACTATATTATGTTTTTATTTTAAATTGCGATTTTAAGTTATGTCTTATACTCTTATGTTTTATTGATAGGTACTTGTTAATTGTTATACTAATAAACAATAATACACACGACACATAGACACAGATTAGTATATTACCTATACAAAGTACAGACTTTTTAATTATCTTTTTAAGTTTTGTTAATTTTTATTTTTATATAATAAATGAAAATAAATTAATTTATTATTAGTTAGTTAATTAATTAATTTATGATGAATTATATGCATGGATATAAGATTGTGAATAGTTGCTGGGAACCATTTATTATTTACTCCAGGTTAGGGCCCATTATTCTATATATCTTGAACTTTATATAAGTATCTATATCTGTGTAAATACTATCTAAAGTAGGAAATATTGAGTTGAAATAGGTTAATTAAATTGAATATGGGGTAGATACCTAGTAAAATATATCATTAAGTTTAATTCAAAGTTGTAGTGTTGTTTGGTAATTTTGTTGAGGTAATTAATAGACTTAAGAATTTAAGTAATTTACATATTTTAAGTGTTTGAAAATTTAAGAATAGTTTACCAATCATGTAAAATACACATCAAGTACTTATAATAATTAAAAAAAAATTACTTTTTTTTTGTTACTACAATGATTTGTCACTATTAGATCAGGTGTTTATTTTATTGAAGTATCAAGTGAAGATAAATTGTTTAATAAATAATGATAACTGCACACATGTTTATTCATAACAGAATATTTGATTGTTTGTGCTATATTTACATTTTTAGTTTATCTTTTTTTGTATTATAAAATGTTTTATACACCTATATCTTATTTACCTTTACTTAGTTCCTTCCTATTATGGATGCAATTTTGAACTACATGTTAATATAGAAGTGATTAAATTCATCTAGTATTAATTATATGTTATACTAAATTACTAAAATAAATTATTTTAATTAATTTGTTATTACTACTTTTGAGATCCAAGATTTAAATTTTTTAAACAATGAACATTTTAAATCATATTTATAATTTAAATCAATGGTAATAATGGTGGTTTTTTGCACATAAAAATTCTGAAACCAAATAGATATGTTTATCTGTATTTGATATAATTAATATATATATAAAGTGACATTTCTTATACATGTTTTAGAAAAATTTATTTTTGATATTGAGGTAACATTCTTTTTTCTTCAGACTTATTTAATATAATTGCATAAATTAAAATTTATGTTTAATACTTGAAATAAATTCTGAATTATTTAATTTAAATATTATTTTTTTAAATTAATTTAACAAATTGTAATTGAAAAACTTTAAGAATAAGAGCTCATATAAAGGATATACAAGATAAATAATTCAAAATATGACATAAAAAAGTTAAGAAATTTTGATAAGATATCAGGATGATACAAATAAAGAACAGATTCATAAAATATGGGGTGCCTAGCATTTCTTTTATCTATTTTGTCAAATTAAATTTTTTTTTGAAAAAAATTATGGTTTATTTATTTAAATATTTAATTTTGTTTTTGTTATTGATTAATTACAGATCTGATGCAACTGAAACCAAAAAAAATAGCACAAAACATGAAAATGCTATAAAGTATGGTGAACTCATAATACTAGGGTAAATAATATAATAAGTATTAACTTTTTTCTTAGTAAAATGTATTAAATTTTTAGTGCTGGTACTTTTAAATTATCTTTTTCTTTTTGTTAATGAGTCAATCATGTCGTTTTAGCTATAATGGCCAATTGACGGCAGGGGACAAACGGAGGCGGCGTAGCAAATTTGTGTTATGGAAACGTGATATTGCTAATGGAATAAAGAGATCAAATCATTATGTTGTTCCGTGCCCCCAAAATTCACATGTATGTATTTTATTACATTTATATAAAATAATTAGTTTCCTATAAGATATATAGGGTGTTTCATTAAAAACACTGGATTTAAATTGCGGGTTGGCTGACCTGTTTTTTTGTAAATATCATCGGTTATCTCTACACTAGGTTACGTTAAAGCTCACGTCTATGAAAATAAACAGCGAACCATTGAAGAACTTAAAGATATTTTTTTTGTGGCCAGAACTGAAGCTTGCCAGTGAAACAGAGGTGGACATATGCCAGATATTATATTCCATACATAAATCGGAGTGTGTATACTTCATGCTCATATTATTTTTTTGTTCTTAATATTTAATATTAATAAAGTAATAACGAAATTAAATCCGACGTTCTTAATGAAACACCCTATATTAACAAAATTTGAAAAAATAATAAAAATGACATAAACATATTCAATTAAGTTATATATTATTATGCTCTTATTTAAGTATGTCACAATACTTATTATCACTATATAGCTGAGTAATACGTTCTCAGAAGCTTTATTTTATTATTTTAACAACCATATTTTTTGCACTTTGCAAATGAAATTAAGTATTCAATCAATTATTTCAAGTTGGTTGTTGGATATCTACTATCTACTTCAAGAAATGTATTTATATTATAAAAACAGTTTTGAATAAAAAATGTAGGTCATTTTTATATTTTAATATAGTACATTTTAATTAAGCATTTTGTCTTGGTAATATTTAACTTATATTTTAATGACTGCCTTGAAATCAAAATAATTTAAAATTTTAAAACTTAAAAGTAAAAATATCAAAAATTAAAACAGTAAAAAATAATTTTATTTACATAAGATTTTTTCTCATTTATATTACACAATGTAAATGATGAAGTATTGAAGTGGACTTTATGAAAAAAAAAAAAAAATGAATTTTAATATTTAGAAGCAATATATTTAAAAGAAGACTTAATATTTTTATCTTATTTTCATTTAAAATATTAAGTAACTTTATATACCATGTTACAGTTTGTAGGCTACTTTACAAATGTAAAAATATGTATTAACATTATTATACTAACAGATATTCCAAATAGCTATAAATTTATATTGTTTTAATAACATCTAACTAATGTGATGAAATAAACTTGTTTTACATAAGAATTATCATTTTTCCTTATTTTATTTGTTTTTTATTTTAATTATTTTCAAAATTACAGTGAATTTTTTAAAAGTACTAAATAGATCCAATTTTGTATCAGAAACAACAAAGTTGAATATGATAGCATTTTTTTCCTCTTTAATATATGTATACATAAAAATACACAAAAAAGAAGAAAAGCTCATCATTATAGAATGATAACATTCATTGCTTCATTTAAAATCAAAAATATATTTTTAAAGAGGCAATTTATGGATATTACCAATCAAATTTGTAAAAGAATGCCGCATAAAAACATACCTACATTTATAAATCTCAGCCTTTTTTTTTTTTTTAGCTTTTAGTATATAACTATAATAGCTTAACAATTATTTAGTTACACAAAAAAAAAAAAAAATCTTAGCCTTACTAATAAACTTTAGTGTGTACTTTCAGTTAAGTGTAATGTATGTTATTATTTTTTTAAGGCTGTTCTTGATAAAAATCAACATTCGATTTCCTACACTTTATCAAGAACGGAAGCTGTCATAGTGGAATATGTAAATGATGATACCACGGATATGTTTCAAGTAATTAATGATCAACTTACCTATATGAATTATAATTAAATACTATTATAATAAATTGTATAATATATTAACTGTTAGATCTACTTAATCTATAAAAAAATAGTAATTTAAGAGTGGTAAAAAAAGTTTTTAAAAATCTTTAATTAAAATTAATAGGGCACAGATTTAAATGCTGTATAAAATATCAAAAAATGCATTTATGACTGTAAAAAGTTAAATGTCTTCAAAAATGCCCAAACCATCAAAAAAAATATATTTATAATAATGAATAAAAATTTAAAAATGTCTTCATATTATTTTAAAGAAATTTTAAAATTTCAAATGTTTATTTATTGAAAAAAATCTTTAAAAAACTATGTTAAATACGTTTATATCTTTTATTAATTAACGTATATTTGTACGTTTTAAAACATATCATAAATTAAAAACTAATAAGAAGATAGTGTCTATTTATTTTTAATTTTACTTTTGAATTGTATATGATTATTTCACTGTACAACAATGTATTTTTTGGGATGCTTAAATAATCATGTAATTTGGTTATCTATTATTATAATTTTATAAATATGAATTTATAATATATTACCGTATATTATACACATTAATCAATATTTATGATCATTAAAAACATGTACAAGAGATAATACAATATTTGTCATTAACAATTTATCATTTTAAAATTTTCTTTTAATATATAAAAATTCTAAAAAAAATATACTAGTAATTAATAATATAATATCAATAATTATGCTGAAAATAACAAATAAGCATTTACGAAGAAAATATGGCTGAAAATGCAAAATTAAATTTACATTTCATTGAAAAAATTTTGTATTTGGAAAGCTTAAAAAAATAAAATACATTTGGAATAGAATTGTGATTAATTTTGTGCAACATTCATGATGAGTGACAATTAACACAGACATTGTTAGTACTTATACTCAATAATTCAACATTAAGTTTAAGTTGATATCAACAAAAAATTAATTTCATTTTAGTCATAGAACTAAATCAATATTTGATAATAATTTATTAATTTAATCATTAGATGCCCCTAGATATTAGCATTATATTTTGTTTTATGTTACACTATAATTTTTAGGTGGGCAGATCCTCGGATTCACCTATTGATTTTGTGGTAATGGACACTAATGCTGAAAAGAATGCAGCCGCCATCAACAATTTACCTGTTGTTGATAGTAAAAAAACAGCTGCAGCAAGTACTATATCAAGATTTGCTTGCCGTATTATATGTGACAGAAATAATACAAATATAGCTCGATTATATGCTGCAGGATTTGATTCTTCTAGAAATATATTTTTAGGGGTAATAAAACAAAAAATTTGTTTTTAGTACAAAATTATTGTATTTTGAGTTGTTGATTGATTTATAATTTAGGAAAAAGCAACTAAATGGAAAGATGGTGAAGAAATTGATGCACTTACTACAAATGGAGTGTTGGTTATGCATCCAAGTGGAAAGTTCCATAAGGGAAATACAGAACCTGGGATATGGCTAGAAGTTTCGGTTTGTGGGAAACTTTTTTCCCTTCGGGGTTCTAGATCAGCTCAACTTAAAGGTGATATGGTATGTAACATAATTGTAGATATATTTCATATGATAACTATTGTTATTAAATAAATATATTTTTTTAGGTTGAAGATTCTAATAACATTCTTACAGACGGGACATTGATTGATCTATGTGGTGCAACCCTGCTATGGAGATCAGCGGAGGGTCTCAGTTTATCTCCTGTAATTATAAATCATGATCATATTATTTGTATTTCTATAGTATGACAGTTATTATTTTTTTTTTTTGTATTCTTTCAGTAAAAAAGTTTAATAAAATTAAATGTGATTTAAATATTTTTTCATTTAAATTAGAAAAATAAAATTATGATTTAAGTACTAATAACTGCAATTTAAAATTTAAAAAGATTTAGGATACTAGTATACAAGACTCTAGAGTAAATTATATTTAAGATATGATAAATTTTTAAAAATAATTATTTTAGTAATCACAACATTTATTAAATTTAACATACTTAAATATTATTTAATAGATTTGGTATTATTATTATTTTTTAATTTTTATAAAAATATTTAAAATTAACAATTTCATAGAAAATGCCTAGAAAATAAGAATGATGCTCATAGCTAGTAACTACTAATCTTTCTAACCAAGCTTTCCTACAATCTTTTTTTTTTCATGAATGTATACAATTTGTAATACTGTTGTATATTTGTTTAATTATATTATATTTTATATAATTATCTTTTAAAAAATAAGGATTTTTTAAAATGAGTTATAATTGTTACTTAAGGTGTTCATTTTTTAAATATTTTAGAGTAGAGAATATTTAAAAAAGCTGATTGAAAGGACAAATCGTGAACGGCCTACGTGTCCTGTTGGTCTATACACATTAGTTTTTCCTCATCATTCAGAAGATCATGCTGCTGCAGTGGCATCTTCAGAACTTGCAGATATAAAGCAACAGCCATATGCATACTTACAATGTGGTCATGTCCAAGGTCGTCATGCATGGGGATTAAATAAAGACTCCAATAGTAGAACATGCCCAATGTGTTTAAAAGTAATTTAAAGATTTAAAAGTATTTATTATAGTATTAAAATTTAATTAAATGTTCAATTTATAGGTAGGTGGAATTGCCAAGCTGAGTATGGGCATAGAAGCTTCATTTTATGTACAAGATAAGGAGAAACCAGATTTATATGCCTTTAATCCATGTGGTCACGTGGCTACAGAAAAAACTGTGAAGTAAGATTTAAATGGTTTTGAATTTTATATATTTTTTTTTTTTTTTGCATTAATAATAAACTATAATAATATTTATATTTAATTGAAAAAAAAAACTTTTATGTTATATTTATAATTTCATTTATAACTTTAAGTCCAAATTAATCGTATTTGCGTCATAGTAAAAATAAGTAGTTTCTTTCATGCAGTTCTAATTTTAAATAGTTTTTTTTTTTAACTCTATATTGTATTAACATTTCTTTATGTGAGGATAATAAGTACAGGAAATGCAGCAGGCTGTACTAATGGAGCACATCTCTGTATGTTATAAGTCATACTGATAACAGTTAAAATATATTGTTGACTTTTATTTATTATATTATTAAACAAAATTGCTTTAATAGGAAGCATTAGATTTAAAATGTAAAAGTACTTACTATTATTATTTTTTTTTTTTTAGATTTTGGGCAAATGTTGGAATACCCTATGGGACAAACGGTTTTGAGGCATTTTGCCCATTTTGTGCAAAACTTCTTGAAGGATATCCGGGTTATGTTAAGTTAATTTTTAATTAGTTTAAGTAAAAAAATTTTTTCAAGTTATTATAAAAATGAATAGATTCATTTTTATATTATTTATTTTCCCTGAACCTGAAAGGTAGTGTGATAATGTTAGTTTTTTTTTTTTTTTTGTCAAATTGTGAGTTTTACTTTTGTCCTTGATTTTAAGGCAATTTTTTTTTTATTTGTATTTTTTAAACTGAATAACTAGGTTATTAAATTTTATAGGATTTTAAAACTATTTTATTGAACTATTTTTGCCTTTTGCTTTTAGTCAAATATTTTTTTTATTTTTTATATTATTTGATCACTTCTGCCTATATCACTGGTAATCTCTAATAAATAAAATATTATTTTTATAAAGTAGTTTAAAAATAGTGACAATCTCTAAAAAAACTGTTTTTGATAAGCAAATCTCAGAATTAATTTTAAAATTATTATTGAATATCTTTTGTTATGTTTTACTTTTTTTGAAGATCTTAACTATACTACTTTTTGAAGATCTTATTAGCTATAATTAAATTTATGTAGCAAGTATTTTATTGGGGTTGCCACAAATAAATATTAAATTCTATCTAATCTTTCACACATATTTTTATAATCAAAGGTCACGAGTATTTTTAAGTTGTTTTAATGGTATATTTTAATAATCTTAGTGCAACACTAATAAATTGATGATTTTTGAGGGTTTATAATTTTAAAGCACTATTTATCTTAGTAGAGGGTTGTGTTTTAAAAGACTTAAGTATTTTCAAATATTAAAAATATAATACATTGGTTATATATATAGAAAGTGAGATTTAAAAAAAAATTTTGATTCCGAGTTAATTGATGAATATTTTGCTTTTACTCTATTGTATTTTATATTATTCGATTACGTTCACTATCATTACAGTCATATTTAATTTGTTTCAAACTTTTGGTAAAAATTGAAATTGGGATAGATGGCAACCCTAATAACTATACTTAAATGTTTAGTTTTAATTATATTTTATGATTTTATGTAGAGTATTGGTAGTTTTTTTATTTTTAATTATATAGGTAAAGTTTTAATCAATTTAAATAATATTAAATTGTTTTCATAATATATTAATTCAATTATTGAGATATACTTGTAAAAAGTGGTGCAACTATATATTATATATTCATTTTCAAATATGTATTTTTTTTCCCCTATCGATAAAATGATGCTTTAAAGTACAATGTTAATATAGTATTCATTTAAAATGTGTATATAATATATTGAATTGCACAGTCAAATTTTTTTAAATTATTTGGTGTGTAAGCTGGTGTGATATTTCAAGACTGCAAACTGCTGAAAATAATTTAAATCAATTGTGGTAATAACATCAATATTTATAAGCTTTTAAAATAGTTTAAGAATATTAATATTATAGATATTAACAGTGAATGCTTTTAGTAAATTTTCTCTACGATTGATTCGTATTTTATTTTTAACATTTTATTGTTATTGATTTTTTTTTAGCATTTGCAGTCATTCATTCAAATTGTAAATGTATATATATTTTTTTTTATGTAATTTAGTTTATATGTAATTAATAACAGGCATTATATTTTCAAAAACACGTGTTAATTGTATTATTATAATTAGTTTTAATATTAATATCATTATTATTATAGAGACTATTTATGATATATATTTACTTTATTATTTATTATTATTATTATTATTATTTTGTGTGTGATGAAGTGATTCTAAAATTTTTTCAAATGATAAAAATTATATTTTGATCATATAAGACGGATAAATATTTATATTTCGAGTACTTGGAAAGTTGCTTTAAAAACAAACTTGTTTTTATTCCTATAATCTATAGTTCAGAAAGGTTTTTCTGTTCATATTTAACATTTAATGAATGAATTAATTTAATTGCTCTATAAAAAGAATATTCCTTTAAACAAAAATAACCAATGACTAATACATCAAAAAAGCTTTACAAATTATTAACCTTACAAAATTATAAAACTAGATTTTTTGTTTATATTAGAGATTTTTTCTTGTATACATAAGCAAAAAATCTTAGTTACTATTTTAAAACTGAAAATTTATATAGATAAAATAAATTTTTTTGTGTCAAAGATAGGTTAAATTATTATTCAAATTTAGAATTTCAAAGTGATTATTTTTTAATCATGAGATCTGCCCTTAGTTAATAGAAATAATTACTATATTTTTTTATGTTAATATAAAATCATAGAAAATATTATAATACCTAATATTTTATGATAAATTTGATACAGCTCAGATTAATTTTAGTTATTAACAATAATTACAATATTCTAACATGTAAAAGAATGAACATTATTTATATTATACAATGATAATCTATTCATTCCATATAAATATTAGTTTTATAAGACTTAAATTTTTTTTTTTTTTTTGATTGAGAACAGTTGATAAATGACAAATTCTTATTTTACCTCAATAAAAGTTGTAATTTGTGTTATTTTTGTAATAATAGAATTTTGTTCTTGGAACTTTTCATCAAACTTGTAATTTTTCAAGCACTGAATATTTCATTGTTTAAATGTAGTATGCAAAAAAAAAAAAAACAATAACAACAAATAAATTGCTTACATAATTTTAGTGTAAAATAATTAGAAAGGCAATAAAATCTCTCCCATATTTAAGTATTATGATATTTATGTATTTTACAGTTATGATGTATAGATAGTAAATTTGTGTATTATTTTAATTTAAACTATCGAATTTATTTATCTATTTTAATTGAAATTTAGTAAAACTATTTAATATTTTAATGACATGAAATAGAATGATCACTTATTCTGATAATTTAATATAAAAATTAATTGTCGTGTAATTGATAAATAATAATTATTGTACTTAGCTAAATGCTAATCTAGCGTAATGTAAATGTATTTAAAAATATTTTATGATTTTATGGTATATAGTTATTTTTATGATTATGTTTTAAAAAGTAATAATGTTATCATTGCAATTATTACTGATTACTGGTACCTGTCTCATTCAACCTATGTTGTGTTTTAAATTAATAAAATATTTATTTTCAGCTACTGAACTGTAGTCCAATCATTATAAACTTAATAGAACTTGCTGTATTCCTTATTTTATTTTTTATTCTCTTAAAAAAACAGAATTATTCTTGGTTTGTTAGTTAAGTTTCAAGTATATTTTATCTCAATTTTGTTAATTTAATGTAGCCAACCTGCATTTACTGGCTACAAAAATAATTTAAAGTTATGATAAACATTGTAATGAAAATGTTTTATATGTAATGATATTGTATTATCTCAGTAATTGGGGTATTGGCGGTATTGTGTATCAATAGATAGATTTCATCAACTATATTTTACCTTAGTTTATATTTGTTTATTTAATTACCCTAATTGTGTTCAAATATACGTAATGTGTAGGTGGAGAGGTATTCAATAGTAAAAATGTAATTTGCAATGCTCTAAGATTTTTTAGTGATATCTCTATAGACATAATGATGTGTCAGTATATTACTCTATTTTTATTAATCGGAATATTAAAATATATTTTTACATAAAATAAAAATAAAAATAATTCAATATTTTCATTAAACCCTAACCATTTGAAACTGAAACTCATAAAAAATTGTATAGATCACGATTTCTGCTGATGTCTCATAGAAAATGTAAATTATTAATAATATAATAATATAGATATTATTCGATACAAAATTGGAGATACTTTAAGTATCTAGAGATTTACTATAGATTTATTATCCTTACGTTGTTAGTACATCCAAATTATTGATTTATAGATATTATTTAAAAATTAATTTCCATTAAAATCATAACGATGTTGGAAAATATAACTTACATTACATAATTTACAGTCTTGTCCGAGTACATTAATCATTCTTTGGTGGTTTTTTTTTTTTGTAATTTATAGGTTTTATAATTTATAAGCTGTATTAGGGTTTAAAGTAGAAAACAATTTCAGGGGGGGACTAATGTCTTCATATAATTTCAAGCGTTCTGTTTACCATTCTATGTTTAATGTCTAATACATATAGTATTATTAATAGTATATATTGTAATGTATAAACAGTGATTATGTAACATACTCATCCTACTTTTAAATCTGAATAATATTAAAATTTGTAATTTAATCTCAAATAGTCCTTTTTTAAGATAACTAATATTTTTTAGATATTAATTTAATATTTCGAAGAAAAATATTTTTTCTTATAATATTAAACTGTAAGTAGGTTGTCTTTTAAGAAAACAAAAAACAATCAGTTAGACAAAAAATATTCATATCATAAAAATGTAGTGTTTTTAGTGCTTTAAATTGTATAAGAAAAAATTAAAATTCTATGCAATGTGTAGTGAGCATGTTTAAATATATATATAAATATTAATATAAATATAATATATGAATATATTTAGCTCAATTTTACATATCATTATGTTATCAGCTTATCGAATACTTCTAATCACAGTTTAGTCATTTACAATAAATAATAAAATAAGTTATTTTAACACATATAATATTAGATAGTCCATAATTTGTATTATGTTATATTATGTTATAATGTATTATGTTTATGTGTTGTTATTACGTTGCGGTCTTTTAAACGCATAACATTATTAGGTAATTGGTTGTGCACGATATTTCGTTTCGTGCAATTTGAAAGCATATTTGCCTAATACATTTGGTCGTAGGTAAATTCGGAAGCATAAATGTACAAAAAAATAAAATAAAAAAATAATATTTCTATAACTAGTATATTATTTTTTAAATATTGTGTTTGTTCAATTAAAATATATAGGTCCTATACTCCTATAACTTTAAAGTGCTTTTCGAAACTGTACAATTAATTATTTACAAAATGTAAGATGAAATTAAGCGGAATTCTATACCTAATGAAAAATATAAATATATTTGTATTTGTATCGTAAATATAAGATAAATCTATTTTAACGTAGGTATATTGTACCGTTATACAAAGTGTTTTAGCCAAATACTTTTTTTTCAGACTAAACATAAATTTCCGGACAATTAGTTTCATAGAACTTAATAGCATTGATGAAAATCCTACTGTGTTCCTGCAAGTGATTTTTCTTTTAGCAATGGCGGCTCGTGAGTAATATTATGGGGAGATTTAAATTCTATAACATAAATGATAAATCCCATACAAAACAAACGAGGAAAACCCTTTTATTGGAAAATTATATGCATGTGTTTTTTACATCACTGCTTAATGACATAATGATTTAAATTTCAAAAGTATTATTTGGTTTTTTTGCATCTTTAAAATAACTACAAATATGTATTAAAATGTCGAAAATAATTAATATCAGATGACAGATAGTATAAACGTATAATAATTATCAAATAATGAGTGTAATTAATGATGAGTCATAATTTATGACGGCATACAGCGGCTAACGACCGCGACGGCGTGACGGCACGACAAATTTAATATTGTGAACTCAGTTTCAAATGTTTCAATTGTGTCTATAATACGCGATTTATTCTTCCCGGGCCCTCTGTCCAATCAGCCATATTGTTAAACGTTACGAATTACGATTGAAACTTTGCTGTCGAACGGCAGTTTTACTGAAACGGCGATCGTCGTTGAAATGACTAAAATAATATTTTCATCAAAATAACTAAAGGTTTTAGATTTTGTGGGCTTTAATAATAATTAACAAAAAAAAGGTATAATATATTTTCAATTTTAATGAAAATATTCTATACATTTTTATTTTTAATTAATTATTATTACAAGTAGGAAACGGTTTTTTTTTTTTTAAGGGGAACATCAGTCTCAAAGTCTCTCCTGACAAGCCGCCCCTGTCCTTAAGACGAACAAAACAGTTCTATATTTCAATTGGAAACGATAGTGGTTTTTAGAGTTTTAATTCCTACCCAACAGCCAATCAATATTTCTTCAAAATAGGTTGTTACATAACATATTCCACAGATTGTTTTAAAGTTTTATTTTTATTTATAATCACCGTCGAGGCAAACGTACTTTTGTAGGTCAGTTTGACACTGATCACTGGCAGGTGTCAGTGTGTCAAAGAACTCACGTTTTACTGCCGTCTACCTTTATCTACTTATTGAATAATTTTTTAACCATCTTTTTTTACATACCCATCATCAGGAGTGTATTTTCCTTCTAATAACTTCCCGATTTCAGTAAAATAGTTGATGAATAATAAACGAAAGTTGTAAGTCCAGTCTGTAATACAATAATAATGAATGCGATGACACTAAATAGTAAATAGTAATAATAAACAATATCCTTTCCAGTTTTCATAGTGGACGATTAGTCGAGATTTGCTTATATTATTTTGGTAAACTTATTTTAAACTAGGTTAGTGGTAAGTCAATGTAAAATTATACAATTAGAGATAATAGTAACTATTTAGTATTTTACCACTGTAAATAGACTTTGATAAGTTGAATTTTAACACGTTTAACTATTCGACATTCCACAGAACCACAAGGGGTAAATGGTCCAGCTGAAGTTCGGAACGAAATTTGTTGAAAAGAAGAAACATTTTAGAATTTGATTCTTTATAATATAGGCTATCAACCGTTAATACTTTTTCAATAAATATTTTAAAAGGAAGTCCTTTCTTCTTTCGCGAAATTGTGTTTTACAAAATTTGTGTTTTGACATAAAAATCTAAATCAAACGTCGAGTAATGCAGTACACCAATGTAATTATAATATAATAACATACTTAATAATGTAGCCACTATGTTTTAATCGCGACATCGCGTATTTCGAAACCGTATTCATATTAATACGTACCTACCTACTTGCCAAACGTCGATGGTGATTTTAAACGGATACCGCACACATTAATAATAATATATCGTGTTTCGTTCGCGTTCGTGTATTTGGGTTGTCTTGACGACACGCAGCTCAGACCGTTTCGACAAAACGCTCGCAAAGACATTAGACCTACACCTAGCAAGTACAAGCCGCAGTCGGTCATGTGCCATCGGTAAGCAAACGTCTTGCCGTTTGCACGCAACATAATATACAAACAATCAGCTGATGTTGGTCATTCGTTGGAGGTACGTAATATTTTAATAAGCATTGTATTTAAAATTTTGGTCGATGCTATTTATATTTGTTTATTATTTGAGAGGATTGCACTGTACATGGGGATAGGCATTTTGTTTGTTACGGGGGAAATATTTAAAAGATCTCACTCCAAATAATGTAGCTTGCTTCTCTCGCGAACCACAAAAATGATTTTTTCATCCAGACGTAGAAGGAAAACTATTTACAACGGTGTGAAAATATTGATTTTCTATTTCACTAAATAAAGTAATGGAAATTTTTTTTTAAAGACTAGACCTATTTTTTTTAGTAAAATCTATGAAAAAAAAACATAGTATCTACTAGTCTGGGATTTAAGGTCACGGGTTCCTGGCCGTATCCAATTTGTATAAAAATGTATAATATGTTCAACTGAAATAACGTATATTCTACCCATGTTAATATTTTAATATTATACGAGTATAATGTAGGCACACACTTAGACTAAAAGTGCATTTGCTAATATTGTAAAAAAAATGTCAAGACACTGAATACATACCGGAGGGGGGATTTTTTGCAACCTCTTCAATCCTAATTGCTAGAATAATAAAATGTAGCACACGAGTTAATTGAAAAAAATTCAAGTTCACTTGATATTTATATGTAAATATAAAATATTATTTTTTTATAAGAATAGAATACAAAATGTAAACACATTTGATCAGAAAACATGTATAATAGTACACAAATTAAGTATAATAGTTTATAGAACTTAGTAAATTGAACGGAAATGATACTGTAAAGTGTATTGCGTGTAGTTGTTTACCAGTGAATTTTCGTTTACATTTATAAAATGTGTATTAAACGTTCGTATTTTATTTTATTTTTTGAAATGTATTCATTGGTACTTGGTAGTTAAGGAATAATTTTTTAGGTATTTACTAAGAAATTATCATATTAAATTTATGAGTAAATAAAAAATAGTTTAGGTAGGTAGTTCGGCAGAATTTTAATCTCAATTAAATACTGACTTTATTACTCAGATTAATATAATTTTATATATCTTTGCCCTTTGGGAAATGATGATCAAACAGGAAATAATTGTATTTAGCAGAGTTCGGTGTCGACATGTTGTAGTCAACCGATGTTGATCACGGACAAAGTTTGACGCGTCTCCGCGTGATAAACACTTAAAACATCACTTAGCGTATTAATACACCTTATTTATTTTTTTACTGTTTATCATTAAATAACAGCCAAATGGTTTTTAATCTCTCGTCGCTGATTATATTTATGATAGTTATTATTATTAATAATACTAATATAAAATTGTAAACATTTATTAAGTCTTAATATTCCTAATATTTTTCATAGCGACTTTATCACCGGTATGGTGCACGTATACACAGAAAGTCTTTGGGAATATATCGTATCTATACTATATACTCGTATTTACAAGTCTCATAAAGAAAAAAATTTTCTGTTGATAACTTTTTTTTTTTACTAGCTTTTTTATTTAAATTTAATTTTTGCTGCTGTTGAACTTAATTATTATTTTGTTTTTTTTTCTCAAATTAAAAAAAAAAAAAATTTAGTAGGTCTGATACTTCTCTAGCATGTAAATTTAATTATTAATTATTTCCATTAAATATTCACGAATTTATGAATTTATATAAATTTATAAAATAATTACCAACAACTTACATACTAAGGTTACATATATATTAGTAGGTTAAAGTAAAACAAAAAAGTAAAAAATTTATCCATCTTTGTAGAAATGTTAATTAAATATTTATTTATTTTTTAAATGTTTATCAAAAAAATATTTGTTTAATTATAATTAATATTATAAATAATTTTAAATTAACTATTTAAATCTTGAATTCTAATAATTTATAATATATTTACATAATAGTTTTCTGAAACATAAAATGAGTTGGAAAAACACTTATCAGCTCTTGATTAAAATATAAAACCATGGCGGATATATTATAAATTCACACGTTTATGTATAAACATTTTTTATTCAAATTTTTTGATTTTTCTTTTAAGTTGTGGTTTTATTTGAAGTCATTAACTAGTGAAATGTATCAGATATTTCGATTAATATATTTGATATAAATTTACCATTTTTTAATTTTTTCATTGATTAAATATTTAAATGAGAACAATTTTAATAATAACTTTTTTTTTTAATTACAAATAAAATATTTTTTTTATAGTTAAAACTTAAAATTTAAAGTCTCGAGTTGCATTATTCATGAAATTTTAAAATATAAATATTATACCATTATCTGTTATCTAATATATAATTAATTTTTATATAATAGGTACTTACCAAAATCGTTTTTGGGTTTATCTTTAAAATATATAAAATCAACATAAAATATTAAAGTAATAGATAATATACAATAGGTACCTACTCCAGTTCTTATATCACTAATAATTACTTGGAAATAAATGACTATATTTTAAACATATTTTGTTATATAGTATTTTTTTTTTAATTAATTAATTAAACCAATAGTAGCACATTTTTATGAAGTTGAGTAAACTGAGATATTATTTAAGTTCGCGATTTACAATTGATGCATATTATTCAACAAACTACTAATAAATTATAAATTTCTTGTTGTTCATTGTATTCTAAGGTATTATTGTTCAAATGATTAGGTAACTTTATTTTTTTATTTTAAAAACATTCGTAGCTTGTGGGATATATTATAAAACTTATTTAAAAGTTATAAATTATAATTATAACAGTATTTTATCATTTTCTGAAATTTTTATAGAACATAGATAAAGATAAAGATACAGAAATATTTAAATACTGGATACGTAAATTCACTCTGTTATGAATAGGATTTACATTTAAAGAAAAATTTAAACTGAAGATTTATTTCAAATTATTTATGTAACTACTTATTCTACTTATATTTTTCTATTTTATTTTTATGAAATTAAAAAAACGAAGAACTAAGTATTTTATAACTGTACTAATTACCAGAATTTTTCATACACATTTTTGGTATCTACCAATCTAAAAATTATTTATTGTTTTTTTAATTGTCATAACAGTCTTTTAAACACGTTTAATTAACTTCGTTATCAATTTTTATGAATTTTCGTGTTTTTACTGTATTTGTTCAAATTATTACCTCAAGACTTTTAATAGGTAGGTAGTTTTATACTCACAAATAAAAAGTATTATATTTCATACTAATAAAATAAAACTTCTTCAAAACTTTAAGCTATATAATTGTTTTATTATTTAAATATGCATAGTTCAATTATATATAATACGAGTAGGTATATACTTATAAATTATAATAAAAACAGGTCCAGTAATTAAGGTATTAACAAAATTAACCTAAAGTTTGTCTTATTTTTATAACAATATTGTGAGTAATTGCAATTTACAAATAATTACTAAATACCTAACCAATAAAATAAAAATTGAGAACATTTCTTGTAAAATTGTATCTATACGTTATGGAAAAAGTATTTAATAAAGTATATTTTAAATACTATGTACTCCCGTACTTGAATACTTGTTCATATTTTGCGATACCTAATTGTAAGGCAGGGTAAGTTATTAGTTCATTTTTTTGACTAATTAAGTTAATATAAATAAATGTAAGTTAACTTTAGCTTTGAAAATTAATTTTTTTTTAACTTGTAAAAGTTACAAATTAAATAGAAATAGAATACATCTTAACTTCATTAAAAACCATTTCAACTTTTTTTTTAATGACAAATTATTTTTAACAATGTCTGTCAAAAAATAATACAATAAAATTTTAGCAAAGTATAAATATACACATAAAGAAAAATAAATAAATACATAAGTAGTAAAAATAATACATAAGTAAATAAAAATAATTAAGTTACATATAATGAGAATAGGACCCTACTATAATAACAATATAGTAACATTTAAATTAATATTTATAGTTATTTTTAAGATTCGTTTGAAATACTACTATTTTTGTCTTTTAAATAAACAATACTAGTTGTAAAAATAACTATTCAACTAGCTATTATACTATTGTGACTTAGTAAGGCGTCCTTTTTGTGGCACAATGAGGTCAACTGATAAAAAAAGCATAGGTTTTTTATTACTAGAAAATGTTTAAAGTAGGTGATAATAAAATCGGGTTAATGTTACGTAAGATATTATAGCAAAACTAGCCATTTAGGATAACATCACAACCATAACCATTAGGTCTTTAAACACGCGAATTATATGGTAATCAAAAAGATTGACCTTTAGCTGGACGAATATTATTATAATAGTAATTGGGTCGAGAACACTTGACCTCGACCTCAAGACATCGGTTTATGTCTACTATACCGCGTAATTGTGTGTCCAAATAAAATTAACGCTAAACTTTTGTGTGCATAATCGATTTCCAAATAATCATATGACAAGGTCATAAACCATAGTATGTCCACAAAATAAATATTCCAGAATGTATTAATAGTATTTGCGAATAAATACTCCATTTTGTTTATTGTTTCTTAGTCAATAATTTTTCTACGATTTCGCATTAAAAAAATGCAATTGTTGATAAAGGTTTACATTTTTCATTTTCTGTAAAAATTAACCTTAGGTAAATATTTAATAAACATAACTAATTTTAAGATGAAAAAATGCTTAAAAAGAGTAAAAAAAAACCATTAATATAAAATATTTAATATATTCAAATGTAATACAGTATTTTAATAGGCAATTTGTTGAAAAAAGATTGTATAATTTCAAATATTATAATTATTTATAATAAAAAAAATCGTTGTTGACTTATTATCGTACCATAAAGTCTTCGCTGGTTTTAAATATAATCAATTACTTAAAACAGAGACTGTCTGTCAGACTATTTATTATTTCATAATGAATTTTATATGGATATCAAAGCAATTTATTTTACTATTAATATTACGGTAAGTTGATTTAATTTTTGCCAAAAACATGCATTATTTTGTTATTAATTTTTAATAATAATAATAATAATATTAATTTACGATATCATATACCATATTATTATAATGTTATTTTTATTAACTTTTGAATCAATTTCATATTACCAAGTGATAACCATAAAAGTGTTAAATAGCGTGAATAGGTTCATGGCATGAAAAGATATTATCTTAAAATTAATCTTCAAACGTATTTAAAAAATTCCAATAAGTATAAAATAAATTTCAAAATATACGTAAAAGTTTTAAGTCCTCGTAAATAACGATTTTAAATTATAACAAAAATAATGACCATCGTTATTCATTGTTTAAATATGTAATTTTATCTAAATTTGAACTTAAACGTATTTAAAAAATTAATTTGATTTTTCGGAAGAAATGCTAACTTTTACTTTAAATTTCTATTATTTAAAACTTACGAGGAACTGTTTATTAAATTTTCAAGGTTCTGACTGAACAAAAAATATTTTATTGATAAAAGAAAATGTGCAAACATCTATAAACAATTTAAAAACAGTTAATTAGCAAAATATTTTAAAAATTAAACCAGTTTATTTAAAAAATGTTTTAACGTAAATTATGTTAGATTTTGAAAAATTTAGGATAATAATGCTAACTTAACGTGCTAGTTTTAAATGTATTGACTCAGAGTCATAAGCGATGATCTCAAAACTAAAATAGTTAGTCAAAAATTTTCAAGTCAATTCCTATCAGCTTACTAGGTACCTACTAAGTTTGTAAAAATTAGTATAGATTATATATATATATATATATTTTTATATATATTTATGTTTTATATGCGATCATAATATGAACACAATTATTGCCATATAGCAATAAATTATTGCAATATGTTAAAGACTTAACGTATAATACTAATATAATATATATAATAATATAATATTTATTGAACACATTTTGAAAGTAAACAATGTTGTACAAATCTTGAATTTATGCGAATATTTTAGATTAATAAGTATTATGTGTTTTATTTATTTATTTCGAATAATTTATAAAAAAAACATATTTATATATACAAAAATAAAATATAAAATCTCAAATAACAACAAATCCTAAAAGATAAATAATAATAATCTTATACATGTGTTATAAATATCAAAATAGAATCTTAATTTTAATATTATATCTTTCCTTATATATATCTCCTAACATTGTTGCTTAACACTTTTTTAACTCTAATTTTTTTTTCTCTTTGTTTAATCTTTAACTGTAAAAGTGCCTTCACTGGAAGGTATCTTTAATCCGTCCTTCATGTCAATTACCTAATTCAACAATTTCGCTTATTGTTCAAAAATTTATGTAACAGATTGTGAAAATAAAAATTAAGTAATAATAAAAAAAAAAAAATTTTAATATTACAAGTCTAAATTAAGCTCACTATTGCCTATAACGATGTTAATTCTATGCGTGTAATGAAAAGTAAAATACATTTTAAATGAATAATAAATTATTAAATAAAAATATTAAATGAGTAGGTACTTTAAATGTGTGAGTACCAGTGGTATTTAATATCTATTATTAAGAAAAAATCGTTAAACTTATTTTGAAAGTCATGTAAAAACACAGAAGTTAAAATAATTTATAGGTACACAAAAAACATGTGTACACTTGTTATGAATGTTGACTAACAAATATTACTTGTCCGTAAATTAAGGACATAAAATAATCAAAATTCTATCTATGTGAATTTTGGTGTACAAATTGTGAAGTCTGGACAATTGTACATGTACTTGTAAGTTAATAAGGAGATATTTGTTAACCTAAAATAAGACAGTTAGAGTTAGATATAGTGTTTAACGTTCATGGTTCATTTATTGACACTGTGCTGTATAAAACTAAAAATTATACTACATTCAGTATTGAACTTATACTAGTTATACTATTTCCACTGAAGTGTATTTATAATTGTTATTTATTATTAATTGAGATAATACATTAAAAAATGTAGCTACATAAAACTATCATACAATAATTAAATTATTATTGTAATTCGTATAAATTATAATTACTTACACCTCTTAACCTAGTATACAGATATGCTAGTTACATTTTTAAATTAAAAAAAAAAATCTGTTTAAGGTTGAATATAATACGATTTCATAATGACTACATTACGGACCACTACTACGACTGAATTTCGAAAGAGAGTATATTTTGATGGATCGCCATCACACGTTTTCAATGAAAAATGCCTAACGCCTTTAATGAAAGCGTGTATGTATGGACGATCCGAACAAGTCAAACTTATCCTAGAAGAAAAAGTAAATAATAACTTTTATTGTATTATATATTTATGTATTATGTAATATTATTATATTAATAATTAAAATAGTAAACAAAAATGATGTAACAATCATACGTAATTAAAAAAAATGTAGTAAATGCTGTAAATGTGCTTAAATTTAAAACTGTTGACGGAAAAATTAATTTTTAATTTACTTTCATTCTCTTTTTTTTTTGTGAACAGCCATTGGCAGTAGTAGAACGAGATAGTGTTTTTAAGACAGCATTGCACTACTGTGCCGAAAATGATGAGGACGATGCAGAATGTGCTAAACTTCTTCTAGAAGCCGATCCATCTATAGTCGATATACCCGACGACGATGGTCATACGGCCTTACATTTGGCTGTCATCGCTGGTAATTTGGCGTTAGTTCGATTTCTGCTCGTGACTGGCCAGGCGGACCCAAATAAACGAGACGCTGAAGGTCACTCGACTGTACATTGGGCGACAGGTATATAAGTATTATTATGATATCTTAAACATTCATCAACCAATAGTTGTAACTTTCGTTGATGATAAATAACTAATACAAGTTTTAAAATATTATATCTATTTATCTTTAAAATAATCTTTATATTTACTATTTTTGTTTAAAAAAATAAATAGTGCATATAATTTTGTTTTATCGTGAAATCTCTACATGGATTCTAAGAAATAAGCGAAAGAATATAAATGCACCTATTTATTCTATAAGGTTTATAAATCATTCAAAATTATTTAATAACCAAGAAATTTAATGATTTGATGTTTAGGTATCTAATATAGGCGCTAACGCGTATCAAGTTTTGAGTCTTTTTAGTTCTTGCAAATTTTTTTTATACTAATACTTGTTAGTAATACAATTTTTTAAGAAGGTTCAGATAATTCGACTGGTATAAAAACATTAACTAGGTTGTCAAAACTCCAAATACTTCTCTATAGATTATATATTTATAAATTCGTCAAAGAACAGTTAACTCGTAAGCAATGATATATATATTCATATATTATTTGATAAATATATATATTCCATATTTTACATAACCACTTAGTACCTATATAAAATTATTCATAACTAGATATAATCATTTATTTTAAGACTTGTCTATGTCTTTGAAATAAATAAAATCAGTATAAAAATGTATAACTAATAACATATTGACAATAAAAGTGCTGGAGGAATTGAGAATTATTATTCTACATAAAATTGCGTGACTATGAAAAAAACTTTCATGTTTATTCTTCTTTAAGTTTTTATTCAAAATATAATAGACCTATAATAAAATATATACCTTATTTTAAACACATAGGATCAACAATTAATAATTTGTTTCGAAATCAATATGTATATATTCTATACTAAAGGAATGGAAAAACAAAAAAAAATGTTTAAGTTGCGTGTCGATAAGCGTAGGTAATGCGTGTAAGAATACCAAAAATTAAAAGTTTATCATAGCAATGCAACCGTATTTATGATTATAGATTTTAATATAATTCTCGATTTATTTTATTTTGTTTATTATTTCATATAAAAAAATGTGTAGCATTAAAGGTAGATAAGTAGACGCACGTGTATAATAAGTAAATGAAATTTGAATAAATGTATATATATTTGATAAACATATGATATGCGAGCCACACGTTGGTAGAAATCTTATAACTTTTATGCAATAGAAATACAATAACGTTTTATGTGTGAAAAAGTTTATATTTATTTAAATGTATTAAATTAAACAACATAACGCTTTATAAAACAATAAATTATTGTCTATTGATAGGTAATTAGTAATTTAAAGTTTATAGACTTCCTTTCAATTATTTAGTTTATGTTAGAAGCATAACAGAGCTAATAAGCTGAAAATTTGTTTTGTGAATATAACACAAAATGATAAAGTAAATAAATTTAAATATAATGGTAATGATAATTTTTTTTATTCTGTAAATGGTAAACCAGTTTTTGACCAGATTTTGTATTTTTGTTTTAATTCAAAAATTAATAATGAAAGCTAGATATTTGAAATGTTCACCAAAACTTTATATTGTATACTAAGTGTACTATAATTTATAATTATTAAAATATTTTGTCTCTTTTTGAGCTAACATTTAGATTATTACTATTTTTTTTTTTTTAATATTTGTAAATATTTAAAATTCTAAAGTTTATTTGAATTTATATATGATACGATAAAATTTTATATTTTTTATTTAATAATTTAAAACTTTCGATAAAATATTTAAGCTGGTCAAAAACCCTGAAATTTAATATAAGATCCCACATAAGCTCTTAAAGCAGTTTAAAAATATTGAAAATATATAAGCATAATTTTTTATTATAAGAATATTTTAAAGTTCAAATGTTGACACAATTTCTTAAAAAACAAACATTTTTTTATAATTTTTTAGATAAAATTAAATAAATTTTAAATTAGGCCTTACAATATTTAATACAAGGTTTATCATAATAATTTTTTGCATAGAAACCAAAATTCTTAAAAATTTTAATGTATATTTTTTTATAGGTATATTATATTTAAAGTTTTAAGTAATATTATTTAGGTATATTTGGTATGTTATTTATTTAAACGATATTTTCTTACAATATTCCTAAAGTTTGATTCGAAGAGACTCGAAACTTTTTATATATATTATTATTTACTTGACATAATAAAATTTTTGAAGTATTTAGATTAATTTCAAGCAATTTATACCATGCACTTATTTATATCAGTCTACGTAGTACCTTCATTGATATATTGAGTTTTAAAGAGTTTTATTACTACAGATACGATTTGTTTTTAGAAACAATAAGTTCAGTCTATTGTATTACTAATTAAAAAATAAATTACAATAACAGCAATATAAATAAATAATACAATATTCTTAGGAATAAATACTGATAGACCGTTTCCACTTTGAATTGTTTTTCGAATGCAACGATTTATTTTGAATTAAAATTTAACATATCCTTTAAGATACCTACTCAATAATGAAGTACATGGTTCCTACAATATCTGATGCATTTTTTAACTTCTTTGTTACTGGGTCACTGATAAATATTAATTCTTATTTAATAGTCAGTTTAAAATCAATATCATTTAAATAATTTATGACATATTGCGTGGTATATTATTATGTTGAGAAGGGTCATTTAAAAATATATCTACATAGTAAAGTAATTTACCTTCAGATATACCTAATAAATTTGTTAACATTTAGAATTAATTTTTAAAAATATTTTCTAAGAATTTTTATTACGAACCTGTATTTTTCATTTTAAAAATGCATTTAATTTAAGAAATTTTCTATGTATAAGATAATAAAAAATATTAATAAAATATAGAATCATATACATATTGGCCATATAGCTGTAAATTATAAAATTTACAAAATTTATATTTTAATAAAGTAAAATTGTTTTAATTTTTTTATAAAATATTAATTGTTATTATAGATGTTTTATAGATATTTTGGTTTTAATATGTATTGACTGATTATTGATTATATACTGAAAGCATAAAGTAAATGTACATAATTCTATAATTGTTTGTTTAAATAATATTATTTTGATTTAATTTATTAAATTTACTACTAATACTCATAGATACAAAATAATTATATATTATTAGTGCGCCTAACAAATATAACTTACATTATATAAAATGTTTATAAAATATGTAATGTGTATATTATTAATTAATATTTATGACTTCGATATTTTTTTAAATTATAAACGATAATATATTGCACTAAGAATCAAGTAAAGTTTTAATGGATTTCTTATTTATTTAATTATTTTATACAATATGCGTTTTATTGATAGATTCTGTTTATTTTTTAAATTTAATAATAAACACGAGTTATATGAGAAGTTAAACTATTATTTAAAATAATTTAGAATTGAGAAATGTAATATTTTTTTAATATTTTGTTTTTGTTTTTCGTGTGTGATGATGTTTTTTGGAGCAAAAACTATACTTCAAAGTTTAATATTTAGATTATTTTGCCTAGAAGAAAATATTTTTCTTAATATTTAGTAAAAACTAACTATGGGAAACAGAAATATTTACGCAACATTAGTTTTCGATAAAATCGATTTATAAGTAGTTAAAAATATTGAAAATACTGAATCGTAATTTGTATTTAAGTGCTTTCAGTAAATTTCTTTATAATTGAATACTTTAAATAAAATAACAATTTTTCATCGATCCGTTTTAGTAATTTTGTTGTGAAACCAAGAAAATCAATATTACAGAAACTTGAAACATTTTACTGTGTATACTTAAACTAGATACGAATTTATTATATAAATCATTCTACGGTTTATCAGTGTATTGAGTTTTAAGTTATCTAGTTGTAATAATGGTAAATAAATTAATATTTTATGATAGCCCATTATTCATTAGGTTTTCCTATACATATATTTTATATTCAGCTCACCGAATGCAATTTTGTGCTTACTGATAGAGCCGAAGATAGTAGCGATTTTGGGGCGTTTGCAGCGAGGCACTTAGCGTTTTGATTAAAGATCAAATTTTAACATACCAAAAAAGTCTTCACACATGTTACTTACATCGCAATATTAGTGCAATATGAAATTCAATAAATTCAGTTACTGTACAGATGAAAAAATATAGACATCGTAATTCGTAACGACGCCGATTCCTGTATTATGTTCCCATATATTATATTACATTTTATAGAATTATGTATTTTATCTCTCGGTTTTAAATAATACTAATTGTACGAGGTTTGTAAATAAAGTAATGAGACTGATATCGTAGCTTGTTATATGACAACACTAATGACATTCCGTTTGAAAAGGTTTGTAGATAAACATTTAATGTACCTTCAGTACGAGTTTAAACTCCGTAGTGTCGCGTGTTGGTCTGTGACAATTATTTTCGTAAACCAATTTTTTTTAGTACGTTTTGAAAATGAGTGACAACAATTTTGAGCAACGGTGTGCTATCCGATTTTGTTTCAAACTTGGACACAGTCTTATTACTTTATTTACAAGCCTCGTACTAATTAGTACAAAAGCAATATAAGACAAGTACAACGCATTATTTTTCATGTCATATTAAATTAAATTTTCTACAGTAATGATAAATTAATTTTTTTTTTTTTTTTAAAGTTGAATTTGAGGAACGAGGGGTTTGTATAGGAAAAATTGATAGTGGTGGTCTACGGATGAATTATTAATAATCGCCGTACAAGGAAAAATTGATTTAGACGCCACTGGGGCATCGTACACGTCACAAATCGATTACTTGTCGTCGACATTATTAGTTATTTTGAAATATTATGATTGTTTCCGTTGACGGATCGTCTTACTACTTGTCCGTTTTTATATTATGTTCGCAGTTTGCGCCGACGTAGATGCTCTCGAGTTGGTGCTCACTCACGGTGGCACAACAAGTTCGGCCGACGTTCACGGCGGATATGCCATTCATTATGCAGCTCAAATGTGCGGCAATGGAGCATGTCGTTCAGGCGATGCACGTAATACCGGTGTCCGCGTGCTGCAGCTGTTACTGTCGTTCGGTGCCGACGTTCACGTGACCGACAAACACGGACGTCAACCAATTTTGTGGGCGGCCAGCGCAGGTATAAACGATTTACGGTCATCACCAAAGCATATCAGTGGCGTTGTAATTTCATTATTGTTTCTCTGAGAGGGAGGGGAACATTTGTCCTCACCCATAATAAGTTTTTGAAAGCCGGTTTAGAAAGTCCTACCAAGTCAATCACCGGGACATTTGGGATTTGCTGGTCTCACTGCGTCTCTTCGAAATAAATTCATTTTAATAAAAATATTTTATATAGGTATAATTTACTGTTTTTCTAACTATATTGAAAAAAAAAATTGTTCTATAGTTTGTAGTATCGTTGTGTTTACAGTTATATTTTTTCATTATGAATAATTATAAGTAGACGAATTCAGAATCGTATAAATATGTATTTAGTATTTATGACAATCACCATCTCGCCAGTTCTATTAACCAAGAATGGCCAGGCGCATGCCTTACACAGTAATAAATTTCAAGAAAAGGGGAGGGAATTATAACTATTTTTTTTTTTTTTTTTTGATTTATGTTATATTATAATTAATATAAATTACAAATTTTACAAATTAAAAACATAGTTTAAGGTATCAATAAACATTTAATGACGCCACTGTAATGCAATATATATTTTATACTATGTACATTATCGATTATCTAAGACCTAGGTATTTAATGTAAATAATCTAGACCTTTTATCATCATTATTATATGATTTCTATACAATATCATAAATAAAAATCATACGTTAAATAAAATAACATCACAATCATAGATTATAATAATATTATTGAATCGTGCATTAATTATATAACATGCAATAGTTAATTAATTTATAGGAATATTAGAATTTATAATAATAGATGATTCCCTAAATATTTGAGCAGTTTTTGGAAGATTTCAGAAAAAAATGATTGTTATTTAATCGTATTATCAGAACAAAAATTATTTGTGATAAAATGTGTAATAACAATAATGCACTAACTATAGAATAACATAAAAAAATATTCTATTAATTGGTATTAATGAACAAATTTGACTCAAAATATTGAGAAAATGAAATTTTTTATAATTCACTAATTATTTTATTATTTTTTAGATTTTTTATCATGTATTTGTTAAATATTTCTAAATTTCATGGTTTTAATATAATTTGTTTAGGTAGTGCGGATGCTATAATAACATTGGTAAACGGAGGAGCAAATGTAGAATCGCATGACAAAGACGGACTGACAGGTAATTACTTACAAATCGGAACAGAAATTAGGGGCCTTGGGTATTGGGTATCTGCAGTTATTTAGATATACATATAATTAAACGTTTAGTGCGTCATATACTAAGTGCATTTATAATCAATGGTTAGTTTTTTTATACAAAGACAAAGTTAGTTTTGTAATTTTTTTTTGTATATTTATGCATATTTTGTTTTTAGGGCATATTACTTCCATTTTATACTTTTTGAAATACGTTTTAATTAATTAATAATTTTATAAAAAATGTTTGCATTGACGTTTTTATTTAATTTAATTTATAACAAAAATTGTTAGATTAAAATATATTTTAAATTGTTATCATAATATAATATTGTTGTTGCAAGTATAGTTTTCTTAAAAACACTTGAAGATCGCTAATCAGATTAATTTTCCATTTATTTATTTTGTTTATAGATAGATGATTGTTTATGGCTAAAATATCATCGATAGTGTTTATATATGGCCATAAAAGTGCTCCGATAAATTCACATTTCATATTCTGTGTTCAGTGTATTTCTAAACGGTTGTCTATACGTATTCTGATTGTAATTTATTTTAATTATACAGTTATTCATTTTTATATGCAAAATACCTTAAGTTAAAGTAGGTATTTATATTTTCGCAACTGAAACAATTCTAAAAATCTCCCGTTTTTAACTACATATTATAGGTATTATGTTAAAATTAATATTTGGTGACTTTAGAGCTACAATTTCTTTGTCCTGGTATCGGTAGGTATCTACATAATAAAGTAGCGACGTCCTAATCATAAAAATAATATGATTAACTCAAAAAATGTTGACTTTGGGCCCTCCCAACAGGGCTAATATTATATAATGGCTAAAATTATTGTACGAGACAATCCCTTTAGTTTATATACAAGAATAGGTTCAGTACCAATATAAACTATTAACTATATGTAGTTTATTATATAATTTAAACATTTACATATTACCAATACAACAACTCATATTAATATAATTATTAAACCATCGATGTACGATGGTCGTCAACCGTGATAAGCTGTAATGAATGCAATTCATAAACAATAATCAGAGTTTGTCGTTATTGAATAGCGTTGCACTGTGCGGCCAGTCGAGGACATGTTGAATGCGTAGATGGATTATTGACGTTGTGCGGATGCGAAGTCGACGCGGTGGACAGTAACAGTTGCTCGGCTCTATTTTATGCCGTGACGTTAGGTCACGCAGACGCGACCGAGATACTATTGGAACATGGTGCTAATCCCGATCGACAGGACGGCAAAGGAAGAACGTAAGACGATCATTACTGCAGCGATACGCTTGTTATGCAAAATACCAAAGTTGTTTTAGAATTTTTTGATAAATAACGATAAGACTAATAACAAATACAATAATGTACATACCGTTTGGTATGTAGGTGCTTAAAATTCTGATTTTTGGAATTTTTAAGTTTACTCCTCGATTATGTTTTCAGATATTTGTGTTTGTTATACTAAGAAGTATTTTGTAATGGCACAAACTTGTTTTTTCTAAACGAGAACAACCCTTATTTGTTATATTATATTTAAGCTCGTCATAACTATTTTTGTTGATGCATCTAAACTAAAATTTAAATAAATATTTTCTGAGTTATTAAACTTTATGTACTAAGAAGTAAAACTAATAATCCGTTATAATGGCTTTAAATCAAAATTAATATTAAATAGATGTAATATTAATTTTAAAATTTATACTTATTAATTAATATATAATATGGACATTTTTAAAAACCATAAGAATAGTAATATTATGATTACTAAAATATTTAAATTACTATAATATCTATAAATATTTATAAAGCCATTTTCATGTAATATTATTCTTAGCACATTATGTTTAATAATTCAACAATTGATCGTTAAAATTTTGATATAAGCACATTATTATTTTGAAAATAATTAAGTATTTAACGATTATTTACAGTAAAAAATAGTGGTTTTAATTTGAAAAAACCAAGTTTGTATTGATAAAAAAACAATTTTAAAATGGCATAAAAATATCTATGTATGTAGAAATGTGGTCTTTGACTATTTAAAAAATTCCAAAAACCAAAATATAATTATGTGTTATTAAAAAAAAAAAAATAAAAAAAAAAATATGGATGATCATGCTTAGAGAATTGCCGTGTATAAGCAAAAAAATATTTCAGTCTTTAAACAATAAATATATTTTAAATTAATTATTTAAATAAATAAATTATTAAAGCCATTGCTATAGTATATTATTCAGAAATAATAATATATATAGCTTAAAGTATAAAGTTTAAGTTATAAAGTATTTATTACTATTTATAATCAATGGTTATTAAAGTAACTAAACTATTATTTAGTCTCCCTACATATTTTATAAATGTACCGCTTCTGTTGTATGCTTTTATTATTTATAATTGGTAGTTAAAATATACTCTATTAATATTAAATTCCATAATTACTCACATAAATATATTTTAGCTTATAAATTTCAATATTAGTTAAGAAGTTGAACTCTTCAATACACCAATTAGTAATACATCAATATTTAGCTTTAATTGAGGCTTACACTCAAGTCAGAAAGTCTTTATCATCTTATATTCTAATGCAGGGATCGGCAACCCGCGGCCCGCAAAGCAATTTTCAATGGCCTGCACAAAGGTGGTTAATTTTTGTGTTTTACTTTTGTTCAATAACATTTTTCATATAATTTTCAATATTATATAATTCTTTTTCCTTTATAAATAAAATCTAATCTAACCGTTTCATAATAGCAATACAATTATAAGTATTATATCATAAAATGTAATTTTTTTTTTTAATTTGGCCCTTGATGAACAATTGAAAAAAAAAATGGCCCGTGTGGTTAAAAAGGTTGCCGATCCCTGTTCTAATGTATAGCAATCATAATTGTTGAAACTGTTTGCATTTTTACGTTTAAGGCCAGCGCATTGCGGTGCATTTAAAGGTCAATTAGAAACAGTCCGAATTTTAGCCGAACATGGTGCCAATTTGTGGCTGCGAAATTCAAAGGGTGGTTATCCATTGCACGACGCAGTGAGGTCCGGTCGCAAAGAGTTAGTCCTTTGGCTGATATCGATGCGACCCGAGTCTATAGACTATTACGATGACGACGGTAAACGGCCTTTGCATATTGCTGCGCTTAACAACAATTTGGAAATGAGTAAGGTAGATTAATTTATATACTTAATGGTAATTGGGTAAATGCTATGCTGTTTTTATTTACGTATTATATTTTTTTTATAAATGATTGATTAGTACATAGTAATTATTAAAATAATTTATTTTAACTGTAAGTTAAATTAACAATAATAAATAACATACATTTTATAATATATTTATCACCACGCAAAATAATAGTTTGGAAACATCAATCGGAAGGAAATGATGTTTTGCACTCGTGCAAAAAGAAACATTTGTAATGGTAGTTATTTGGTTGTGTTTGTAAATTATCGTGTTCAATTATACTAAAATAATGCAACAATTTTCAATTTATCGAATTAGTTATTATTTTATTAACTAATAAATACATAATAATATTAATAGCTATCTTTTTGAGTATATAATATATTACACGGCGTTATGTATAGGCAATATAGGTACATGTCTGTGTCGAAAAATAACGTGGTAAAATGGTTAACTGTTTACTTATAGTAATATATTTTATTATTCGTATTATATTATTAAATTAATTTTGTTTTAACAGCTCACATATCTTATTATGTACGTATCTCTAAGATTTTAGATTAAAAATTATCATAAAAATTAGATACATAGTGTAAAATCCACCATTTAAATTATTTTCCCGGTCATTCGTTAGCCATAACTTATAAGAAACTATTTAATGAATTCAAATTAAAAAATTTAAAAAAAATTAATACAAAATAATAGGTTATAGTTTTAATTTTTTATTAATAAAATGTTTATTTTTAACTTTATTAAGAGATTTATTTTTGAATATTTAATATAATTCATTTCTATATTAGAGTTAATATTTTTAACCACCTTTTGTAAATGTTCTTTAATTCGGTTAATATATTTTTTTTATAATAAAATGCAATTTTAAAAATATAAATTGAGAAATATCCAAAATTTATCACAAGTGATATTTTTAAATTTTGTCACGTTGATTTTCATTTGATGAAAATTCAATTAGTTCATCCTATATTTTTCAATTTAAATTTGGATTTATTTTATAAGTATTAAAAATGCAGATCGATTTTAACAATTCTATAAATATTTACTTTATTATTTAAAGTGTTAAATTTTTTGTCAATCCCATACTAAATTTTTATTATCCACTGGTTGCATATCGATATCAGTGGTGTAATGTATATCCAAAGAGGTGAATACGTATGTGTTATGTATAATGTGGTTTAAAGTTTAAATAGAAGTTCAAATTTACAAAATATGTGCAAAGCACTTGCCAAATTTAAGATGACCAATATATAAAAATTATTGTCTAATATATAAACCATAGTTATTTTTAATAAAACCGCTTTTATATAGTGACAAGTATATAAAATATTTATTTTGTAATCTATATTACTTATAAATTATAATATTTATTTCGATTAAAAAATGAACAATTTATTTTTGATTATATGTTTAATACGAGCAGTTTATAGTTATATAGTATATAAATATTAATTAAAATGTCTAATTTAATTTCTTATAATATGTATAGATTATCTTAGATAACGGAGCATCAATTAATCCAATTATGAAAATCAAAGGAGAACGAATGACACCACTTGATGTAGCTCTACGAAAAAACAATAGACATTTAGCAAAATTTTTGAATCTTTTTGGTGGTAAACCAGCTAGCAAGTTAAATAAAACGTTGTCTAAACAACACTCTACTGTACGTGTTAAAACTAAAAGGTTAGTAATACTAAAAGGTTGTATAACTAGTACACTATAAAAGTGTAACCATAAAAAACTAACAGATACAATTATTTAACTATGTGATAAATGTTATTCAATTCAATTTTTTTAAATTATAATATAAGGTAAATATAATTTATGTATTAAAATTTAAAACAAATTTTAATATCGATAAAGGAACAATAAAGTTATTACATATATTTCATAATTAATAAGTTGTATTTGTTAGTTATTTTTGTTATTTATTTTATACTTCTATAATTACGCTATAAAAGTTGGGAATTTTTTTTTTTTTAACCTTATTAATTATATTACTAACATTTATATACTTTGTGGGTAGGATACACGTCATAAACTGCGTATATAATATTATGTGGGTATCTACATATACATTTAATATTGAGTTTATAATAAAGAATAAGATTAATTAATTTCAAGATATAATAAAGGTTCTAATACTTATATATTATTGAATATTTATTTTTCAGAATTGAATCTCGAAGAAATTCGTATTCGTCCGATTCAATTAGCCGAAAATATCGTAACGGTGGCGGTCGGAAAAAACAACTCAATTCACGTAAAATCGAGAGTCCCAAATCTAGCAAAACATCAAAAGGTCGTGTTGTTCAAGTAAATAAAAATTGTTTTAATTTTAATAGTGTTGAAATCACTCCTTAAAAAATTAAAATTTGTAAAATAAAAACGTAATGGCGTTAGAAAATAACTAATATATATAAGTGCGAATACCTATTAACATGTACGTTGAAGTTTCATTCTATTAATAGCTGATATAGATATTCAATGTTTATGTTACAGTTAAAGATATTAATAAGAAAAATTATGTCATTGACCGGGAAATTTAATAAATTCCCTAAAAATTGAAGATTTTTGAAATTTTTAATATAATTATTCGGCTATCGATTTCAATGTTTAGATAAGTTGAAAATTGACACTGAATACATTCTAATTATTTAAAATTAAACAATTCATTGGTGCAAATATTTTATATTATGTATTCAACTTACAGTTCTACAGAATGTAGTCTAAACGATGAACGTATGTAGGTATTAACATATTTTGTCAAAGCAATGATATATACTATAGTCGATAGGTAACTGATAAAATTTGGATATTATTAGTTGCTATTTTAATATAAAATTATGAAAGTATGAATTTCGATCAGTTGTTTCTATTTGAAATATTATTTTGTATTCATATGATGGATAATATTAGAAAATGATTTCTTAATACGCGTATTTAATACAGATATTTAGGTACTGGCGATTTTGTGTCTTCCTACGACGCGCGTGTGTAATATTTTTATGATAGATAACCAATATACTTTTAAAAGTATGGAGCACCAAGAAAAATGCAATACAGCAATAATTGAAACTATTAAAAAATATAAAAAAAAAATGATCTCATCCGGTTTGCTCTACATGTGTTTAACAAGAGCAATGAGTTTAGTTCGATTCAAACTGTCAAATCATAATTCAGTCTAGTCTAGTTTCGGTCTAAGCTCTGATTAACTGGACCGGCTCAGTTCGCAAAAACACGGACCGACTTTATGACTTTATCGAGTACGTAGCAATTCAGTGATGAGTGATGATGTAGTCTGTTGAAAATAGCTAATACACATATCGGTCATCCCGCAGCAGTCAGAAAAACAAACGATTTGTCTGTAAATCGTTTATTATCCACAACAAAGCACGATGTCGGCAAAATCGCCAGATTATACTAAAGTTATCTTTAGTCTTCCGTATCTATATATTATGCCTGTGTACGCAATATGTTTTATAATCCGTATAGGTGCACATAAGGGCAAACGTGCTGACGAAAACGGTCGGCAATTCGCGAGATGACAGAAAGTCGTGCGGTGGCGGTACGTTGCCGAAAGCCCGTCGAAAGAAGTCAACGGGCGTTACCAACGAGCAAAAGGAATGTTTTAGCGAAAACGATATGTGTTATGATGGCGACGGTGACGGAAATTACGACTGCGATTACGACGATGACGACGACCCCGACAACGACGATGATGGCGACGAGGACGAGGAGGATGAAGACGACAACGGCGACGATGACGGTGCGGACGGTGGTTGCGTTGAAGAACAGACAAATGGCTCGGCTGCGGCGGCAGCGGCCGATCATTGCGGTAATAGCAGACGACTGCAGAGGAATAGGCGTCGTGGTAACAGGATGGCGACTCGAGGCGGCAGCGGCGGTGGCGGCCGCCATCGACGAGACAAGACGGCAGCCAAAGCGAATACTGTCACCGACCAACAACAAGAATTACGCGCCGACGGCGTTGCAGCTAAAGCGACGTCCGGGGAGTTTGGCAACGGAGGTGGTGGAGGTAGCGACAAACTCGTAGACACGAATCCTGCAGCTCTCGGAAAACACGACGGGGACGGCGAGTGAGTATAATTATATTTTTTAAATTGTTGCACTGAGCATTATGCCAATGAATTTAAATGTGTCCCGAAAATATACGAGCAAGAACATTATTTTTTATTTTCATGACTGTGCCAAATATTACAGGCCTATATATATAAGGCAATAGGACCTTATATTATATGGTGCCAAATTTGAGGAAAATGTTTTTTAATGTAGTTTATGCAGTGTAGATGATATCAGTATTATGTGTGATACGCGTAGCTACATCGTGAAATTTAAATTTTGTTTTTAGCCCTTAAGTCCCAAGCCCCGAATTAATCGATTTTATGATTTTATAGTATTGAACTGATATTGGATATTATAATATTCAATGCGTGTTTACATAGATTACATTTTATAGCATTATAATAACCACTTAACGTTCAATATTTTGTACAATAACATGACGTGTTTCGTACAGGAAACCAAAAACAACCGCGGAAAACAAAGACGTTAACCGTAACGGCATCCGATTAAAGGACGATCAAGCGGCAAAAGTTAAAGATAGCGATGACGTCTTCGACCAGAAATTGGTTTCGGCAACTGAACCGGAAGTGACATCGCACAACAACCATGACAAAAAAGACGACGGCCCAATGTCGGCCACGGTTGTAGAACAAGGAATCAATGGTTTGACGTCGACAATGAAAAGCGATCCGGCGACGAAAAGCGGTCCTGCGACGAAAAGCGGTCCGGTGACGAAAAGTGGTCCAGCAACAAAAGGAGGCGAGACGTCGACAACGATGAAAGGTGATGAGGTGACAGTGAAAGACGGTGCGACGACGGTGACGGCAAAGGCAAAAGGAAGTGTGGCGGAACGGTCGACGAGTCGCGAGGGTGGCAAAACGCCGACGACAGGTCAATCCAACAGTAGCAGAGCCATAGTCGAAGTATTAGATCGCGTGGACACGCCACAACTGTCGACCACGGTCGGCGGCGACGGCAATGTCGGGGTGGGAGTCGTTGCAGGAGGTCGAAACTTTGGAGGCGAACCGACCGCGTTCAGTGTGCTGCCGGACTCAGGACGTGACGACGAAAGACCTTGCGAGTGTCCCAATTGTTGCCGACGAAAACCGTTACGGTCGACTTCGAGTAAGTGCTTCACATATTTAAAATTATTCTATATTATGATAAGATTGTTATTACTAATGATATAAAAAATAAAAATAAAATAACATTAAAAAACAGATATATATTGTATTAATATTATATTATAATATATTAATGTATGATAAAATATTATAATAATTAATATTTAATAGTAAAATATATGCGATATTTATAGTAAAATGATTTCAACGTACCGTACTTCTAATATAAAAATAGATAGTTTATATTCATGTAAATAAATTATAAAATATCTTTAAAAATAGAGGCTACCATACCGTTTATCACCGCTTAGAATTGTTTTTCGTAGACAATGATTTATCATTAAATTCAAGTGCTTAATGCATTTATTATTATAGCAATTAACTGAATAACTATAATTACAATCAAAATTTACTATAATTTTATAACAAAGCTACTTTCTTGGTTTTATTATATTATATGTTCTTACACAATATTTATACAGCTAAATCTTTGTTTGTGTACCATTTCTCCTGCAATTATGATAATCTTTTTTTAAAAGATACCCCTCAATACTATTCAATACTCACGCTATATGCTTTCTATTTGTTCTATATAACGTATAAATTACACTGTAATAATTTAAATAATTATATACATAATTTGTATTAATATTATTGTATTCTGATGATCATTTTTTGTTTTAGAAAAAATGAAAAGCCGAATTCCTCGATTGAATAATTACTGTAGTTTAGCACCTACTTATGATTTAAACACCATGTCTGTAACGAAAGCTGTTCAACTGAGTAGTAGAAAGTAAGTTGAGCTTAAAATATATGTAAAAAAAGTTCAAAATTAATTTTAATTTTAAACAGGTACTAATACAAAATTTTTTAAAAAAATAAAATTCTTCTTAAAATCTTTTTTACACAGTATATTTTTTCTTAGATATAATTTGGAACGGTTGATTTTTTATCAACTGTCTGAATTAAAACGATTACAAATCAGAGCAGGCAAGTCCGACGAACGAGTTTTGGTTAAACGACTGGTTGAAGAGTATGGTAGTACAGGACTATTTACTGGATTGAAAAGATATGACGGACCCTTTTCATTTAAGCGTTTCGAAAAATATTTATACGGTAAGTTTAATCGTTGCATAAATATCACTACAGTGAAAAAAAAAATTACAACTCATAATAATCGTTTTATTAATAAGTTCATGAATTACTTTTAAATATTCCACATACCCAATAATATTATACACTTTTAGTTATACTACATATACATTGTGCCTAGTACACAATCATTTTGAACACAATATGCGTGTGTTGCGTGTCTATTCAGTTGTGCGAGCATATTTGAGTGAGCGTAAACATTTTAACATTTCATGCAAAAGTTGCCTTTTCGTTGTAGTCTAATATTAATAATATTGACATCAAAACGATTTATACACGTATATAACTACATAAGTGCCTATATCTATATAATTTTTGATATTATGTGTACAGTTATATTGTAATTATTGTCAGAAAGTACTGTGTATCTGAGAATCGTATTTTGGTTAAATGTGTTTCATGTTATACACTCATACAGTCATACCTTATGTACTTATATAGTTACCTAGGTTATTACAAAATACAATAAACAATACCCTTCATGGCCCATTTATATATTAGTGTCACAATTGAATACTTATATTTTACTACTTACGATTTTATAGATGTACCTACGTACTCGATTAAGAGATGTAAACAACGTTTATAATAACGAATTATAAAAATTTATAACTCCTACTTATCTTTTAATAATTAGCTTAATTAACTTAATTCTAAATCTACAAGTCTTTGAAAATATTGTATGTGAATACATACCATAACATTTTGTAAGTTATAATATTGGATATATTAACTTTAAGACTTAACTAGCAAGTGAATGTTTTAAACCACGTAATTTTTTTTGGTCGAATTTAATAATCATATATTAATTTTTGTAAACTGGCCTACAGATTTTTTCTATTTTTTTTAATGAGACCATTAATAACACAACAAGATCAAGCTGTTAGGATCTATCTAAATAAGTATAATTTAAAAGGCTCCTCAATTTCCAACTATAAAGAATTTTGCTGATCAGGTTTCTATATAAAAAATTTACCATATTAAGTGTATTTAAAAATATAAGTCTTAAAAATATTAATAAACGTGAACGTAGAGCGTATGGTCTACAATTTGAGTACCTATACAAAAAACAATATTGGTAAACATTTTTTGGATTATTTAGGTCCATCAAATTTTAATGCAGTGCTTTTGTATCATAAACAAAACTAGTATTTGTAATCATGTGAATAAAAAATCAAATTATATAATTTATAAGAACTCTATTGTAAAGTGACTGTTAAGAGAACTTTAATTTTAAATTTTGAATATCATTATCATTACATAATATCCTAGAAAATCATAAAAAATATGTGTATAATAATTTATTTACCCCATCACAAGCATTGCTTAAAAGGGTAAATTAATTCTATTATATTTTAAATTATAATTTATAATTTATAATGTATTTTGAGTATTAATAATAATAATAATAATAAAAAAAAAAAAAAAAAATGCTAACTCAACAGTAGACTTAAGCATAATTTATTAATACAATTTTAGTGTAGATACTCTGCCACTGTTATTTTAAACAGAGAAAATCTGAAATTAAAGCAATGCGAAATAAATACACCATGTAAATTACCCATCAAAAATATCAGTAAAAATAGTAAATATAAGCTTCTAAAAATCAAATTGTTGATATTTGAGTAGTTTGCAAATCATGATGATTTAGTCATACACTATTTAGTCGTATATTCAAAAAACTTTGAAATTTTATCCAATTTATTGTCCAATATATTATTGGAAAAATAATAATAATATATTATCATTTAATATATTAGAAAAATAAAATTTTTTCAAATTTTTTATAGAAATTTTAATAGATTATAAGAATTTTAATAAAACTTTATGAAATCTTTTTCAGTATATTGTTTTAATGTCACAAAGAAAAAAAAACTATGATCTTTTTTCACGAATGTTTTACAGATAAGCCGAGTAGTAAATAATGGGAAATTTCTAATATTTTTATTTTTTAACCAATTTTCACAACTTATTTAATATGTATTATGTATATCATATCAATAGCTTCGTTAAGTCGTCTATGTTCGTTACTTTAAATATCAGTATTCAATCATTTTCAGTTTTCGCTCAAATCTCGAGATTTATACATGACATTATCATATACGTAATAACTAATTTTTTTTTTTTTTTTGTTTTATCGTGAAGTTGAAACAATATATTAATAAAAGTTATACAATTTTCTCTGGCTTTTCCACAAATTATTAATATATATAAACCAACATGATTTACCAGTTTTATAACAATAACCATGTTTTAACATTTTAACTAATAGAAAAATTTTTCAAAATTTTTTCTGGGTTTTTTGAATAAAATTGATATAACTAAATCAACATAATTCGTCAACTACATCAAAAATTTGATTTTTAACAGCTTGTATATACTGTTTAGTGTTTAAACTTTAAACTGATATTTTTGAGGGATAATTTACATAGAATATTTATTTTAAAATGCTTTAGTTTCTCGCTAAAGAATTTTTGTTATTTGAACTTTTTTACGCCGAGTAGGTATAACAAAACAATGAATTTTTTTAAAAATTAACAATTATTCATAAAATTACATCCAAAAACCTCTTAAAGGCATTTTAAAAATCTGAAAAAATTCAAAAAATTTCATTTTACAATTCTTTTCATAAAAATTCAGTTATGCATATAATCAGAAAAAAACACGTCATGTATTATATTATAATATACACAATGAATATTATAATTCGGATGTAATATAACATTATTCTGAATTATATAGTGTATAACTTAACAACTATGCTTGTTTTTTTCTACTCATAGATTATTTTTTATTATTTATAGATCAACTGTTGGTATTGCAAAAACAATCATTGGCCGACGATAAAACCACAGTCCCTAGGATACAATCAATCGATGAAGTAGAAAAATTGGCTGGAGCTTTGCGACGGATCGACACCGGCAAAACAGTGTTGGAGAATCCAAACGATTGTCTATCGTGTGTCCGGACCACAAACAGGTGTTTTCACGCCACTCACGCATACACCGGTGTGCCTTGTGCCGCATATAGTGAGTACAACGCTGCCACTTGCACGAGTGCGTTTTAAGCATAATACTAGTATTAATTTAATAACGTACAATCACGTACGATAAGATATGACAAGACTATTACACGGAAACACACGGAAGGGTAATTTCGAAGGTCGACCGTTTTATTGCATTACCGTTTAAAGGGCGAATTCATGTTATAATTTTTTAGCTATTCCATCGACCATCCACTCGAGACATATTTTAACACGACACATAAACACACAATAATGGCAGGTAAAAAACAATAATACATAATATATAGTTCCATGCAACGACATCATCCTATAATAAGTACCTGTGCGTGTATATTAGTTCACACAATAAAATAGTAAGACATATATTATGCGAGACTGCTAGTTAAATTTAAAAACTAAACAGATGAACAGATAACTTTACCAGATTTTGAGATTGTTAACATAACGTGTAGTTGGTGTGAATAAAACTTCTGTGTTTTTGTTTGTAGTTTTTGCAATGATAAATAAACTTTAAACAAAGGGTTTAAATGAATACTCGATATAGGGAAACTCGATTTTATTTTAATAATGTCCAGATGTTTTGTTACTGATATAAAACTTCATTCCCAAAATGTACAAGTTTTTTTATTATATATACCTACTATAAATTATAAATTTTAATTAGTAAGTTATATCGATTATTATTATTTCGCTACTCTACGACTGACTCGATGAAATTTTGAAATAATAAGGTATTTATCTCATATCTGGTATAAGATAAGAAGAGTTCGTTCGATAGTGCTAGTGAAATGGTTGGAAGCAGAAAAGGTAGTTGTGTAAGACATTGTAAAATTGGGTAACTTGCGCTACAGGGACTTTAAAACTAAAAAAAAAACATAGCTTCCTGGAAACATGATACTCATCTGGCAATTTCAAAATTTCGAAATCAAAGTATGTACTATAATATTATTCTATTATTATGGACTGTTCTTTTGATATAATCTATAAAAATCAATTTTCTATACATATTAATGTAAGTGGGAAATAAAATTATGATTTGAGTACCTAAACCTGAAAAATGTTATAATCGACAAATTAAAGATTTATAAAATAAGCTAAAAACATCAAAATATCCATTAAAAAATGTTTTAATATCTAAAAATAATTTATTAATGAATACAAGAAAAAAATGTACTGTTTACATAATTTTTTTTTAAATATATATACATATACATATTAGTATCTGTATCAATAGTATAATATATTTATAGTATGTTATATTTAAAATTTATAAAATACTAACAAAAAATCTGTAATTCCTACAACTTTCGGGCTTTAGTTAAAACTTATACCATACAAATATCTGATTTTAGAGATCATGTAATACTATAGTAAAACCGTATTTTCCAGTAAAGTTCTAAAACTTTTTTTTGCCTTGTAATCGTGTTTCACATAATTGAGATTATTTCTTTGTGGTATTGCAAAAACTCGGTAAAAGCTGAGATTTTTTCTAGAAAAATAAAAAAATAATATACATACATTTACTTTATTCCAAGCGGAGTATATTTTAAAGGAATATACAACTTAAAAAACTATCGTGAAGTTTTTTTATATATATTATTTAGTTTTTACATTACAAGTTATAATAATGCATTATATTAAATTGAACATTTAAAGGACAGAATAAGTTGATTATTTATTTATTATTTAATTAGTTAAATTAGAGTATAATATAATTTATATTTGCTGTTTAACATATTTTTATTTTTAATCGCTCTTGTGAAACAATCCTGAAACGTTGTTTAATGGAAATAATAAGAATACATAAAGAAATATGTAACCTTCTAAAAAATGTATTTTTATAACTTGTATACGTTAAATATGAAATAACTACATTAATCGTTTGAAATAAATTCTGTGCGTGTATTTTAGATACAACCCGTAAAATGGTATAACTTTATGACTTATATAAATGCTGAGTTAATTGTTTGACAACAATTTTTAGACAATAAAAAAAAAAAAAATCTGTTCTTTGAGTAAAAACTATGTCAATATACTTACCATTTTAGTTATTTTATCTACTGAACAAGATATTTCGGATTGGTTGGATATCAATGAGCTCTTTGGTATCTTGCTACAGCCTACAAGTTACAACCAAAGTCAAAAAATAACCGTTATCATAATATGCTCATCAATTATTATATTGATTGTTTTATTTTGAAATTTCAATTTGTATATACCTACTTATTTTCATATTTTATTAGGTTATTAAAAAATACGGATAATATTTTATTTATTTCAAAATTAAAACGGATTGGTAAATTATATACTTGATTCGTATAATAATTAAACAATTCTTGTTATATCATAATATTTAGGTATGCGGTTGATTATTTACAAGGCATAATGTTGGTAAGAAGGTCTCAACAATAAATTGTTAAAAAACAAGCCTTTAAAATCAATATATTCTGGGCCCTAAGCCCTTGCTATGTTTACCACCAGCATGTTCGCAAGAAACAGGATCTATAACGCATTATTTTTTCAAAAGTGGGGTGGCCTATAATTTAACATTGGCTCCCGACAACATTACATTGACCTACCCTCCATAATATGTATAGTTCGTTATTTGTCGCATTCATTACGTGACAATATAACACCATCAAGCCGTCGTTCGCATGTATTTCAGTACCGAAGTTCCGGTTGGACCATCACCAGATGCCGAAACCGCCGGCGAACGATGGCCGTCGCCACCGCTTCCTGCCAGACATTCGGACGGGCCAGGACACATCCGGCGGAACCACTACTCGATGCCTGCGCAACGTGGACCCGTCCAGGCCGATCACACTGCAGCTAGGTAACGGGCCCTGCGCACAAGCCATCGACTTGCCCACCGACAAGCTGGACAAGAACAAGCGGTACTTCGTTACGTTCACGATCAAGGGAGCTGCGGACGGCGCGAACAACAATCACCGTCCGCCGGCTCCAACCGCGTTCCGGGCCGACGGTCGCCGCGGCCAGGGCGTCGACTACAACCCACCGCTCGCCCACACTCACGCCAAAAGCTTTTAGCATTTTTTTTTTTTTTTATATATACTATCAAACTGCAATTGCAGCGGAAGTGGACTTACTCCGGACGTTCGCCGGTTCGAGTACATTTTAAACACGTCCAGACCTTCACCGCGGGTACAAATATAATGCGAACCGTAATGTTGTCGCCAAAAAGCGATTTAAAACTCGGCCCACCTATGCCGCTTTACTATCAATATTTGTCGAATCGGTCGAGTCGCCGCACCATTAGGTATATGCACAGACACTCTATTGATTTATAACTAAAATACTTGTATTATAGATTTTGACGCAAGTCCGTCGTTTTCGACTGTTCGCGCCGACATTACCGAAGAGCACACGTTAAAAGGAGACGTAATAATCGTTATGTTGTTTTTGTTTTACGCGCGGACAACACATCAAATTTGCGTTCTACAATTTCAATTTTATGTTGTTACATTTGATATTAGATGAAATTGACCAACAGGCTGGGGGAAAAGAATATTATCTCTACAGTGTTCTGTGGTTTATTTTTACAATATTTTTTTTTAATTTTTAAGCGAGTCGTGATGATTTTTTAATTTAAATTTTAAAAACTATTTTACGCGCTGCGCTTAAAAATCAAAATTTCCTGAGAAGCCAACGAGAGAACACAGATCGGTATTCCTACCTTAAAGTTTGATGAAAGGTCAAATTACTCTAATATTTAACTCAATAACACACAATTGGAACAACAAAATATAAGTTTTGGTTGAATGTTGTGTTAGTAAGACTAAAACAACACACGCGTGTACATCCTATTAAAGTGTATAATGTAGAGTGTCCGTGTATTAATTAAAATTATTAATTAAAATTATGGCTCGACCAATCCTACAAATATGCACAGTATAGAACATTCGTGAAAAATACGAATCTAGTTATCAAAACGAAATAAGTATTACTAGCAAACCATGCGCGGATCTAAAAATCAGAAATGATGTAGGCAGTGCTTGATTTGGAAAAAAAATAGAAGGGGGACTCATCAGATGTTTGATAAACGAGCGTTCCACACAAAATTAATCGTCACATTACCGTGGGGTCAAATAGAAGGGGTACGCTAAAAAAAAATTAAAAAAGAAGGGGGACTCCGCCCCCCCCCCAAATCAAGCACTGGATATAGGTAGTTAGGTACATATTTTTCAGAAAAAAACACTATTATAATTGGTTATTGTTTTACATGATAGACTATCGGTAAGTTTTGATAACAATATTAACAATTTGATTTGAACTTAATTTTTTTTTTTTATTTTAAGACGTGTAAACTACAATTTTAATTATATAAATATGTAAATACTTAATAATGTATAATATTTTTAAATAGGGAGGGGGGAGGGGCACTTTGATCCTCTCTGGATCCGCGCCAACATCAGACGCCTGTGCACATTTCGCGTAATACTGTTACTATATTATTACCTATGCACATAATATCGGAGGTTAAAAAAAAACTCGAACGGCCACTCGTCTGTGATATACGAAATCAAAATCAAAATATTATTACGTTAACTGCAATAATTACACACGCACAATAACTGTCCCACAAACATCGTAGATTAATATTATTCGTAGACCGCGCGGTCCTAGGGCTCAGCTCCGCTCAAATCGCGAGCGCGAAATGAGCCAGTCGTGACGGGTAGTATCGTTACGGACAACCGACGGAGTAGCACAAAATCCTTGTCATAATATCTCGCTTCTCGTGAGACTTGTATTTTGCGTCTCGATGTCGCTTTTCGAGGCGTTTTCATTAGGGAAAAAAATCGGATTCCGTCTCGTTCCTTCGGCGGATCATACTTAATACGAACTATTTAGATCGTCACCGCAACTGTGGAGTGACGATTACCTAACACATATTATATCTTTGTCGAAGGTTGTGATATAAACAGATAATTAATGGTCGGTTACCAATGTAAAACTATACATGAATAAATTATTAGAAATTTTATCGTTTTCTATTACCACTAACCTTTTTTCCAACCGGTTTAGATATATCTATACGTATATTAAACACGATCGTTTTATGAGACATTAAAATGTGTACAAATCATACTTAAACCGCGATTGCTGTATCGATATGGTTATTTTTCGATTAATTAATTTATGATATTTCGGAACATTTTGATCGTCAACATAAAATATTACATTGATTTAATAAAATAACACACATTTTTCACACAGATACTATTCCCGAGTCATATATAAACAATATACATCATACATATACATAGATATATTTACGAAAAAAAAAACATTTTTTTTTTTTTTGTTTTGAAACGTTTTGCGCGTCATATCGACTAGAAATTTAAAAGAAAAAAAAGTGTTTAATCTTTATGAAAATACCGACATTTGTACATATTATAATGTTTCGTTCTTTGAACCGCTAAGATTATAATGAGAAAATAGTTATAAAAAATGAAATAAAAGTTGTTATTATTTAATATATTTATTTTGTATAACTGTTATTATTTCTGTAGCAATTAATATTAAGAATATACTTATAACATAAAATAGAAATAATGTATAAACATTATATTTATAAATATATATATACCTATACCTACATGTACACATAAATCATGTTAAAAAAAGTTATTACTATCATATAATTTAGAAAAAAAAAAAGTTTAATACATACCTCTTTAATGAAAATATCATAATACATTAATAATTTTAATAAATATAAGTTACGTACTTTCTCGAGTTATTATTTTTATTATTATTGGTTTACATTCATAACAACGGTTATAATTAATTATGTCATGAACATTTTATTAAATACGTTCTATGCAAAAACACAACATTTAGTATAAACATTTAGTTTAACAATAGTAGATGGCTTCTTTTTTAATGACTATATTACACTCTGTTTTTATCGTTTTGTTATCTTCCGTTTTGATCGGTTTATTACCTTCCGTCTTGATCGCTTTATTATCCTCCGTTTTGATCGGTTTATTACCTTCCGTCTTGATCGCTTTATTATCTTCCGTTTTGATTGCTTTAATATTTTCTATTTCGATTTTTTTGTTCGTTTTATTATTTTCTTTTTTGAGCTCAACAGTTTTTAATATCGGCATTACTTCAGAAATAAATGATAGTTTCAACACGTACTCCTGTTTGTGGCTAACTAAAATAATACGTAATACTTCAAAAAATTAAAATGTAAAAAATAGGGAACACATTAAATATATATTTTTATGAAAAATATTTATCTAAATTGTGCTTAACATTAAACAGCACGTTAGGAATTTAATTTTTAACTAAGCCCCCATATAAATATCGAGATGACGTGTTTTCAATTATTAAACATTTCGCTGCGAGTCTCAGCACTCGCGCTCACAATACAGTCGAATTCGATAATATACATGCAGGTATAACATGATATTATATTTACTTAAATGAAACACATAAATCAGAGAAAAAGGTAGTGAGCTCTAAACTTCCTCAAGTTTTTAACCCCTCCAAATCCTTAAAAAAAAAAAAAAAAAAATTAAATTATTTCTCTTTATAAATATTGTTCACAATGTCCAGAGAAAATTACTTATTGTATAGAACGTGTTCTCAGAAAAAGTAGTTAATATTTTAATTTAATTTAATTAAGAAAATATTTCATTTTTCATAAACTTCCCATGTGAACAGCAACCGTGCCTGACATTATATTAAAAATAAATTATAAAAAAAAAAATACAAAGAGATCATAAAGAAGAAATAAATAAATAAAAATATGTGTAATGGATTAGTTCTGTAGGGTAGTGCATGAAAAATGCATGCGGTAAACCGTAAATGTATCGAGTCTTCTAAAAAATTGAATAAAAAGTACTAATACAAACCCTTATGTGATTAATCTAGTAATCCGACACAACGAAAAATGCGAAATGAATGTATATTTTTTATTGGTAAAAAACAGAAATCTATAGCTGTTTTTGACAACAAATCTTACTTAAGAATGAATAAATGAAAGACAACTAGTAAGTTTAAACATACATCAGTGATGAGTGAAACATTAAGACGGCGGTGAGCGAAAAACAAACGTTTTAATAAAGTATTCGAATCATATAATAACCCCAAAGACGACTATAAATTATTCACACTTTACATTCGATTTTTAGTACAGATAAATTTATTTTAGATTATCATATGTAATATTTAAAGCTATATCGTATTAAGATGTACTTATAAACCAGGATTGATCAGTCGAACTTATCTACGAATGTTTGCATCTACAATTTCATGAATCGTTATAATTATACCTAAAGATGATATGGTTATTCATTAGAGCATAGAATACGGTAAGACATAAATCAATACCATTGGAAACCACTGGACATTTTGAGTTTATTTTAAAAACGCATATCAAAACGGTTTGTTGGTTAAGCTAGTGAATCACTTCAAAGTCGTGAATTACTTATTAGACTACTGTATACCTCATAACTATTTACAGTAGTTTCTGAAAAGAAAAAAATTCAGATGACCCAGAGCAAAACCATAATGTATAAAATATGTGTATTGTGTATAAAGTTATATATTATCATGTTATCGAAAAAACAGATTTTTAGATCATAGTAAGTTTCAAATCAACGTCGATTTTACATTTTTTAATTTTAAAAATATCAAAAATTAAGATTATTTTTATTTTACATAACATTTTAGTCGTAGTACAATTATGCTTAGTTTAGATTTTTTTTAAATGATATTAGTGACATCGCAGTTGTAATACTAAAAACCGATGAAAAATTGTCAAAGATGAACCCTATCAATTACACACAAACAACAACAATGCTAACAAAAGATAAGTAAATATTTGTGTGCTGTAAAAAAACTGCATATTTTGCTATTTTTAAAACATTTAATATGACTTATTTTCATTTGTTTATAGTCTACAGATTCTACTTATCGTACACACAAGTATGAGATGTTAAACCCTCATTTTCTAAATTGAAATATAATTTCAATAGAGACAAAACGTGTTAACCCAAAATAAAATGAATACATTTTTATTAATGAACATTGAAAAAGACACATTGTTTTATATTAAAAACAAAGAAATTCTATTTATAGTTATGAAAAAAAATGATATTAACTTATTTTTAATAAATAAATTACTAAAAAATAAGTATTTTATTTCAATATTTTTAAGTATAATTCATGATTATTATGTATATGTTATTAGTGTTATTACTTTTTAAAAATTATAAGAATATTGACAATACATTTTTTTTTTATAACGACTTTATGTTTCAAGATTATCTACATAAATATACCTATTCAATTATACAACACGGCATTGCCTATTTAGGCGTTTATATTCTCTAAATTAATTTTTAAGAAATTTTAAGACAGGTAATATCATAAATGTTAAAAAAAAACAACTACTATAAATATTATATTATACATTTAACATATCATACCAAATGAAATTTAAAGTACAACTGTAGAGAATTGTTTAAAATTTTCAGCGCGAATTGGAAGATCAAACATTAGCTCTTATTAATATACGTAATAAATAAATTTACGATTTTTCTAAAATGTAAGCACGATGTATTAATAAATAAAAAATATTTTAATTTAATTTTATAATAATATTAAAATCAAACGCTTAGCTACAATTTATTCAATTTGAACTTGACAAATTTATTTAATACGATTATTTACAAATAGTTTTTTTTTTTATGTAACCATTTATTTTCATTTAACAAAATATCACATAATAAAAAATAATGTAACGTATACACGTACCTTTATTCCAAAAAATAGCATAATTAATTTCCATTACGACTTCAATAGCTACACTTGGGGTAGAAAACCAAATTTCACCGCTGATCGTCGGACTTTTTTTAGTATCTATGAATAAAAAAAAAAATAAAACTATCTATTCGTATGAGCACCGACAATAGAAATACCTTTAGGAGTAGTCACTCTCATCTTGAAATCCTCTACTTTAATTGTTCGTGTTAATAGGGAAATGAGTTTCTCTTCATTCATACAGGGCGGAGCACCTTCAAACTGGAGCACCTATAAACAATCAATACATATTTATAAATTTTTTATTCAAAAATTGATGTTCAAAATTTAAAAAAATATATATTAAATTTAACAATTAATTTTCATGATTTTCAACTAAAAAAAGTAATAAAATATTTTCATTGCATGTGCATAGTAAAGATAGATACGTCATGAAGAATTACAATTTTAATTTTAAATCGTAGCAAAATGTGTTAACTTATATTAAATCACCAACATAGCACATAATTTATATATATTTTTTTTTTAACTCGAATACTGAAATTATTGATAGATACAAATACATGCGGAGTAAATTTGAATGAAACAAGTATATAAATACAATAAACAAAGAATTAAAGATTTTGACTAGAGCAATGAATGTAACGACTTTAAACTAATGTGTTTTTTATTTTTGTATTTATCGAAATTTTTTTTTGGGCAATAAAAATGCTTAAACTATCAACTTAGGGGATGACTTTTGATAGCAAATTAAATCTAGTTGGTAATTTAAAAGACCAGAAGTAAAATAATCGAAAAGACCGAGAAAAAATAAATAAAAACAGGAATTTTTATTAAAAACCGATATTTTAAAAAACTGATTTTATTTTTTGGTAAATCTCTAAAACGAATAACTTGAGATATTGCGATTTTCACAATACGTTTATATTAGCATTTTCACTACCTACATGATAAAACCTTCATTTTTCACTGGGTTAAAAAAACATTTAAGTTTAATAACAAGTTTCTCAACAATTATATATTTACTAATTAAAAAATATTGAAAATACATAATCCTAGAATTTTTTTATGAGTATTTCAAGTTTAAATTTTAACAAAATTAATCAAGATTGTGAAAATTTGCAATTGCTATGTATCTAGAAATTCATAAAAAAATTTTCTTTTACATCTAAAGTTTGAAAATGTTTTGTTAGATTCTTAATTTTCTGTTAATAATGAATAAAAAAAAAATCTGAAATCATATTAATTTCAAATTAAAGTTCAAAATTTAAACTTTTACGACATTGATCATTTACGTGTAATTAACTATTTATTCACAACCAATTTTTACTATTCATTAAGAGGATGTTAGCGCACTATTTGTTTTCTATCTCTGGTCCACGCGCAACATAGATAAAACACATTTACGCAGAATCATTTTTTCTATGTTTTTAAGTAATCTTAAAGTAAAATCACCCATTACAAAAAAGATAGATAATAATATTTTTGGGGGAATGACATATCAATTTCATATTTTATTGTTATTTGACTTTCAAAATAAACAAAATAATATTGTAAATTTAAACGATGTTTAAATTGTTTTGTGACCACATTTTGACAAATCGATATGTCATTCCCTCAAAAATATTATTATCTATCTTTCTTATAATGGTTGATTTTACTCTAAGGTTACTTAACATCATAGAAAAAAATGATTTTGCGTAAATGCGTTTTGTCTATGTTGCGTGTGGGCCAGAGAGAGAAAACGAATAGTGTGCTGACATCCTCTTAATTATAATTCGAAATGTAAACTATCATTTATATCATCTACGTAAACATGATAAATTTTTCGAAATATATTAACTTTTTTATAGACATCTTAATTATTTTAAGTATAGACGATATTAGATGTATTTAAACAAATAATAACGATTTTAGTTATTTTTTTGTAATTTAAAAATATTATTTGTAGGTAATTAAAACTTATAACATGTATTATTGTATTTTAAATAAATAATAACATTTTCAAAACATTTAGATTAATTTTAAATTATTAACTGTTCATACCACGAACTAGTTAATACCGTTATACGGCAAGTTGACATTGACTCAAAATAAGTTAACATCAACAATAATATATAATATAAACATACAAGTACTATTTTAATAATTAAATAAATGCGATGTTTCGGCAAAAATGTATTTAACCTACTGTAATACTACGACTAAAATAAATTACTTTAATAACAATATAATTAATAAAATATACGTTGACAGTCATCGTACAATCGTTTTACGTATGCAATGATTTATGATAGAATTAAAAATTAACACCTACATTACATTCATTGATTTATTCCTCAAGGACGGGGCATATAGGTACCTACTCGACACCTACTATACAACAAAGCGATTAGTTATTGATTACCTACATTCATCTTTTTTTAGATAAATGGTTACCTACGAGAAACATGTAATATCAAAATTCGTAAACTCTATAAGTAATTTTTTCAAATATTTTAAAAAATGTAAATTTTACCATTTTTAATTTACATAAATATAGTTTTTTTTTTTTCATTGTTAATCACTACATGAGGCCCGAACAGTATTCACATTGCTTAACCCAATAAATATAGTTTGGTGTAAAGCGTTTCACACTTCAAGTATACTACCTTTAATATAATCGAATAAAAATAGATCTAATATATTATTTTTTTTATAAATCTGATTTAAATATCTCAAGGCGCAGTAAATTATAATAAATGTTATGGACTCATAAAAACAGAAAAATACTCTAAGTAACTAATTAAATTAATATATTATATTCAACAGTTTGTTATAAAATATTCATTATTTTATACATACTCTAGATGGTGGACATAATACATGAGGTGTCATTTTTCGATCATAGATTACATATGATGGTGATCCATCGGGCAAAACGAATGGATCGATATTACGATTTTTTAACATCCGTTCACCTTTTAAATACCTAAAAACAATACAAATCGCTAAATTAAAATCTTAAACTATTAAACAACATTATGGTTAGTGACGTAGCCAGGATTTTTGTTTAGAGTAGAGAGATACCTATTTTTTTTTCATTGAGTCATTGGTAAGAGAGGATTAACTTTAAAAGAAAAGTCATAACAAAAGCAGCACTAGTAATCACTGATCAATGTTAAAATAAAATATACTTTACTGGAGTGATAAATTTAATCCGTGCGAAAGATAATGATGTTGAATTTGAGCAAACGCATTGATATCATTGCATTTACTGATTTGAACTTCGGCAGAATTTAATTCACGTGAATAATTAATCTAAAACAAATAGCAATCAATAACAATGTGATAACTTAAAATTAAAAAAATACCGTACTTTAGCCACCGTGGCATACATTGACAATAATTTGAAAATTCGATTACAATTGCTCTTAGTCGGGTCAAGGCCACGAACAGAAAGAACAGAAAATTCTTCGGAAACTGAAATAGCCAAAAGTCTGAAAAAAAATTGTTATCCTAATACATATGTACTCGCACTCATTTATATTAAACAGACGAACACTCAAACAACAAACACAGACATAATTTATAATCATAATAAAATTGATAACGCCCTTTATACCCCGCATTGCTCTACTTAACGCTTAACATACAGTTTGTATGCAATAAGATAAATTGAAGTTAATTTCTTTCATGAAGTCGAGAAAATAGTCAACTATCTCAGAGTTATAAATTTAAATTAGATATGTTTTAGCTACGATCTATAAGTCATACACGAACGGTGATCGAACAACACATATTTGTGTATACATACGTTTTACGGGTTTCACTGTTTGCGGTTAAAACGATCTTTTTTGTAGTACTTGTTCCTGAAAAAAAAAACAACATATACATACATTAAAAATTAGTTGATTATTACATTTATTTATACATTATACAGTAATATAGAAAACAGTGTAATCAGCAAAATAAAAAATCATCAAGACAATAAACGAATACGTCAATAGTGATTTATTTGCCAATAATATAATAATCACAATTTGTAAAACAGTTATACCTGGTACGGGAGATTTATTATCAGGATAAATGAAATTATAGTTTTCGACCAGTTCTGAAATATTAAATTGTAGGTATATTAGATTGATTTTAAAAATAAAACAGTTATTATTATTTTATAATACACCAAAATAATTAAATATCAATAGTCTGAAAATAAAATGTATAAATACTAAACATACTTATATATATATATGTTAGGTAGGTACCAGAAATATTGACAATACTTAGGCAATATCATATTTTCTTCTTCGTATAATTGTTATCATTGCTTAAGAGGACGCTTCATCGACATGTTATCGCCTCTGTCTAACAAACGTACGTTTAGTAAAAACCATTTCACACAAGCAAGAACTACTAGGGCTGTAGTTCAAGTTAAACAACCCAATTTTCACACTATAAAAATGAAAATATTAATTGTATAACGCCATTTTTGTCTTTTTTAAACTTTTTTATCGTTCTGATATCGAAAAATTAAAAACGATGTTGCACAGCTAGAATTTTTCTTTTAATAGTGTGAAAATTGGATTATTTAATTGGGCTACAGTCCTACTGATACTTGCCTATTTCTTACAAGAAATGATTTTTACTATGTTGTACATTTATAAGATGGAAATATCGCATACGAGTGAAGCGTCCCCTTATAGTCAACATTTCCGGTAAACATTCAAAAAGTAATTACAAAAGCAGTTCATTCGACACACTTTTATTGTTCTATACTTCTATAGGATATATGATTGAAAATAATCTGTCCGATAATATACAACTTATTTAAAATAAATTAAATAATAATAAATATATTTTATTTCTATTTCTAACTATTGAAACTTCACTTTATCTTTATAAAATAAAACTAACCCCAAGTTTTGTCGCGTTCTGCAATGTTTGGAATTTTTGTTCTTTGAGGTGAATCTAAAATACAAAAGAATTAGGATAAATTTTGTTTTCAAGATTAAATAATTAACACATGTTTCAATTTAAAAAACATCATTATATTATATTACAATACGTGCTCAAAATTTTTGAGAGGATGGTATATGAATTTATGATTGTTCACAGACTCCCAGAATAAAGAAAAAAAAATGTTATCTTGCATTTACCTATAAATACTAGTTAATTATAATTTATAATAATACTTTAAATACAGAAATATTGTAAAATCTAATTGTGTTTTATAAGGATTATTTAAAATAAGTACCTATACACAAATGTTATTATTAATATTTATTTTGTGTCAAACCAGGTAATTTCTAGCTATCTAAATAAAAGTATAACTAATTTCATTATTGATACAAGTTTCTTTCTGTTTTATTTTTTTCTGATTTTCAACTATCCTTTTGAAATAATAATTTATATTTTATTAATTTAGGTATCTAATTATTGCAACACTTTATTTATATTTTAGATTTTAATGGGCATATTTATTATTTTTTATTCAATTAAGTGTATTGTTTACAAACCTAATCTTTTCACTGATTTATTTAACTATTAAAAGTTTTTTATACAAAAAGATTAAATAAAAATAGATAATAATATATAAATTTAATTACCTTTTAAAACAGCAACAATAGGTTTTAATGTAGGTAAACCACCAACAAATTCTAAATGGCACACAAACAATAAAAGATAAATTAACCTAAACAGTATGACAGAGAATATTTAAAGACCAAATATTTCAATACATTGCTTAAGAATCTAAATCAAAGAATTACCATTACTAAATCTTTAAATATTAAATACCTACAACGAACAAAAATACAATATGTATCATTTAACAACATTAATACTTGTTTAAGTATAAAAATAAATAAATAATATGATGAAAATTATGCATTCAAGTACTAAACAGTAAGTATTAAAAATATTTTTATGTATCTTCATTATAATATTGTAAATAAACATACCTAATAAAGGTGACTTTGAATAATCCCAATTCAATTCATCATTTTTTATTACAGTTATACTGGAAAGCTAGAATAAACGTATGCAAATATTTATTAATCAAAGAACAAAACATATTTTATAGATAAAAAGCCAACTTAAACATGAAATAAAATTATTAAATTAACACAACAGCTACTAAATAAAATCAAATATAAATAATTATATTTTAAAATTTGTGTTTATTTGGTAGGTACACATATTATTTTCAATAACTATTATCACAATATATATCATACATTATATTTAGTGATTTGCATATTTGAATAAAAAAAGTGATCAATTTTTATTACATAGTTAATAACTAAATCTAAAATTTGTTCAATTAACAAATTAATAAAGTTATCATTAATAGAATTATTTATGGGTACATAAATAAAATAAGCATGCAATATTTGACCGTGTGAGATTGAATTGTTAATAATTATTATTTTATTTTTAATAATAAGATTAAAAGTAGATAATAATCTTAATTTGAATTTTAAATACATACTTTGGCATAATCAGCCTTCAATCTTATGTAATCTAAAGTAATATGATTAGATTCATCAAATACTTTTGTTGCAAATTCTTCCTTGCTAAATGTATGAACAGTTAAGAAAAAAATTTTAAATAAATACAATTATTTTAGCTTTATATAATTCAGTATTAGATATAATTATAAATAAAATACTAATGAATGAAAAGGATATTCAACAAATGCTCTGAGTTTCCTAATCTTTCTGTATATAACAATTCGCAGTATTTCTCCGTGAGTAATCAAAATTGAATACAATACATGCTAAAAATGGTTAAGATTAGTATACTGTTTCATTTATCAAACCATTCTTAGCTATTGTTGGCTCATTTTAAATAAATAATATACTATTAATAAACTATTTAGTATAAAATCTTAGAGATCATAAAATATGAGTTCAAAATTAAACTTGATATGTGATATGTTTATTTATGTCAACTTTCTTTCAATAATAAATAAACTATCATATTTTTTTTTTTTTTTACATTTTATACTTTATGTCTACTTTTAAAAATTAAAAATAAACCAAGATCGTTAAGAATTTTAACTATGTTTACTAATATGTTATACGAATATAACAGTATTTCTTAAACTATATTCAGCGGGACCCTGGGGTTCCACGTAGTTTAAGTAATTTTTTTAAAAATTTTCAAGAAAATTACTTTAAAATATCTAACTAAAGATAAGTAGCGGCTAGTATAGAAAAAAATGTTTGTACAACTTTCATCAATAAAGCCTAATATTAAGAATATTTGTAATAATAAAAAGCAATTTCACTTATATCATTAAAATTAAAATTTAATATAATTTAAGTAATTTAAGTATTTTTATATACATAAGGTATTATTTTTATTTTAACATATTTTTTGAATAAAAAAATACCTTTAACATATTGTTATTTTATGAAATAATTATAATTTTTATTGCAAATAATTCTAAAAAAAAATTATGGGTTCCACGATAAAAGTGAGCATCAAAAAGGGTTCTATGGATAAAAAAGTTTAAGAAACGCTGGTACATAATATCTATATATTTGTTGTTAAATAGTTTTATAACATGCTGTGTCTATTTATTATTCTACTTACTGTAGTGATTTTAACTGTACACTGAAGAATTTCAATATGTAACACACGGTTTGGACGACTAATGACACTAATAAAATTAAATTAAAAATTAGGTATACTAATGAATAATTTTTTAGTAAAAAAAAAAGATATACAGTAAAACAATGTAAATAGTGCTTAAATAAATAAAGTCGTTTAATATAAAACCATACTCCTTAAAATAAAACAAATGATAAGAAAATTAATTTTTTCTTAATTTAAAATAAAAATAACAATTTCAAGTTCAAATTTATATATATATATTTTTTTTACATACTTTGAAATTAATAGATGATAAATTAGTTTAAAAAATTCATTGCCTCTATTCAGTGAAATATATTTTTAAATGAATACAATATTTGTAAGTACCTATGTTATAAATCATAAATGTATTTTAAAAACAAAATTACATACCTTTTGTGTTTATAATTAACTAAAGCTTGATTTTGATTTTTATTGAATTTAAAACCATCATACATGTTCTACAAATTAAATAAATATTATTATAAAATAAGCTGTATTTACAGACTATAAAAATGTGTTGTAAAAATACTTTTTCTTAAATGTATTTAAATTACTATTTATTACTCAAATACTAAAAGAAACTATTTATGTGTCTTATTAAAAATTGACCTGATTATTAACAAAAAAAAGATATTTATAATAAATAGAATAAAATATTTAAAATGGTCATTAGTTTTCTTTTTTGTCATAAATAATTCCACCACGAATATATACTCATTCATAATTATTTAGTTTACATTTTGTTTTTGTAACTAAAATAAAATAAATGACATAAATAATTAAAAAATTAATATTTATAGCAGTGTTAATATTGCATACATTTTTTTTTTTTTTATTATTATTAAAATTTAAAATATAATAGATACTTAACAAGTATATCTATAGATAGAAATGGTTGGGCCTACTTTAAAATCTCAGAACCCCTTTTAGTTTTAATTTCTATTTATTTTCTAAATATATTATCAAGGTATAAAATGTATATGATATATAAATATTTAAATTTATCTGATAACTATTTAGAACTCTACTCCAAGGATCAACAACATTTATCAGTTGACAATAATTAATAAAAAAATAAGAATAATAATAGTTTTCAACAGAAAAGTACTCAATGTGCAAAACATAAAATATACAACGTGCAAAACATAAAATATAATTATTAATTAAAAACCTATATTTTTGTTATAACCATGTTACAAACATAATAATTAATAATATTAACCATATACATTATGGTTAAATGTAGTTTTAATATCATAAAATAATAACAACACCTATGTTACCTACCATGTAGGTTTTTTTAAATTTAAATTTAAAAATTAAAATACAGTAAAAAGTTAACAATTCAACACAGATAATTATTAACCAAAAAAAAAAATTAAGAGGCGTGTTTAAGCTTTAAGTTTAATTAAATTGTAGTAATTTAAATTTTGTGTAGTTTGACTTTTTTTTTTTATTACCTATATATAAATAAGAGGAAACAGCAAAATATTCAATCATCAAACAAATTTAACATATATCGTTTGCAAAAATTTAAAAAGTATTCTGATAATTTGTTAAAATTTATTTTTTTAAATTTTTAGCTTGTTGGAAATGCAAAAGGAGGAAGAGCATTAACTAGAATAACTAGAATAAATAATCTTACAAATATTAATTCCCGTATAGAAAAATTCTGATTAAGTGCTAGTTATTTACAATTTAAAACTGTAAAAAATATAATATCAAAACATTACAAATTGAATCTTAATATATAATTAAAATTAAAAGAGGAAGTACATAATTGATCTGCTGTACAGTAGGAATGTACAATGTCATTGAGTAGATCACTCTAAGAGATGTGGTAAATAAGAATTCAATAATAAATCATTACATAAGAAAAATGATTTTTAACAGAGATGATATGTCAACCTATTATAATATGACATATAAGTGTATATTTCTATCAATTATCTAAGGAATTTATTTTACTATTTATAGTAATATGATATCAACTATCAATAAGCAATAGCATACAGTTTATCTAAAAGTTTTGAAAATGGTATTGTATACATGATACATAATCATGTAAGTTATAAATCTCTAGAAATAATATTTTTAATTAGAATAAAATAATCAAAACTGTTATTCTTTACTTAAATATCTAATTTCATACAAATTTAAACTTTAAATATCTATAAAAAAGTATTGTACTTAAATATTTTTTAAATTTTCATAAAAATAAAAATAACTAGATACCTAACTATTTATTGAAATACTTATATTGATAAGTACATTAACATTATCGAACATTTTAACTCTCAAACTTGTATATAAAGAGCAGGTGAAAATGAACAATTAAAATATAATGTCCTTACCCCTGAGAAGAAACTATATCTATTAATATTTTACATTTTTACGTAGTTATTTGACAAACTATTATTTAATTTGAAAATAACAATAATTTTTTTTTTTTTTTTTTAGCTTCTATAGCCCATTTAGGGCCTTCACTGCTTCCACTATTTGATGCCATCTATTTCTATCCACACACTCTTCTAATTTTAATCAAACAATAATTTACCTTTTCATTATTTGAGTATTTACAATTAATACAAAGTATATATTATGTTCATCCACTGATGAAATTCAATTAATTAAATTATTTTTTATTTATAAAATAGTTTTAATCTGGCTAATTCTTAATATTGACAATGTTTATGTTCAAAATATTCTATTTTATTCTTAATTTTAATTCATTGAAGAGTAAATTGAGAATAAAAAGGTGCTACTCAGAAAGCAAAATATAAATGGAAAATTTAAAAAATAAAATTATAAATTTTGGAGCAATAGTGATGTATGTTTCATTTGTTATCATTTTTTTTTTCAGAAATGACGTATAAATATGCTTTAACTAAATGTTTACAGTAAATATATTAGTTTATAAGATAAAAATGAAGAAAAAAAAATATTAGTGTTAAAATGTATGTATAAGTCAACACTCATCAAATGATTATAATATTAGAATAATTTGACTTATTAAATTTAAAGATAAGCACATAAACACATCATAAAAATCACAAGTAGAGCTTTAGATTATGTTCATGACATAGATCACTTGGTATGCTAGAAATCTATTTTCCATTGATTAACTACAACAAATTGATAAAAAATAATATGTGGATCAAAAATATTAAATCTAAGGCTAAAACTCTTATTTAACTAACTTCCTATCATTCATAAATCATATTTATATACAAAAATTAATAAATATCTACATCGTACAATTGGCCTTATTTTCTTTTTTTATTGTTTATTATAACAGTGTATAACATTGTAGGTGTAAGTGGTATGACATTAATTATTATTAATATTTATATAACAATGAATTATACCTCAGTCTTTGATACAAGTTTTATCAATGAGGCTCAGTATTTTTTAAAAAGAAAACTACATTAATATAAATAAATATATATATATATATATATATATATATTACCCAAGTAGTCGTTTTTTGGATATTAGAAATCCAAAAATTCCAAGTGTTGTTTGCCATTTTACTATTCAATCAAACAATATTGCGGAAAATTCTAAAAGTAAAGATTAAAAAATAATATTAGTAAGTAGAAGAGATATTTTGTTAAAAATATTAAATGTCACATATTATTATTGAGTATTGTATTATTATTGAGCGTATTTAGTCATTAGTCATAAATTCATCACTAAATATTATAATTTACTCAAATTAAATATAATGCATGAATACCTCTAGTAATAGATTTTATAAATATCCAAGTACATTGTGAAGTTATCCAATTAATATAAAATAAACTTACCTACCAACAGTGAGTTGATGTTTAGGACACTTATAGGGTTCGTGAATGTTGAAATTACTAAATTGTAATACTTTCTTCTCTCGATCTGCAATTGATGATGGAACGATTTTACATTTAAAATGTCATTTAAGCCAGTATCATATGAGCAAAAATTCGAAAATGTCAAAGTGAACGAGACTCACTACAAATTATTAAACAATTATAACGTAGCGTGGGCGACTAAAACGTCTAAAACACACTACCTAGTCAGTAGTCACGCAAAATGCAGACGACATTAATTAACGGCCGTACGAATAATACAATTTTGATGGAAAACGTCTGTTAAATAGTTAAATTGTAACCATTAAGTTTATAGGTATGACTGTATGATATATTAGAAAAAGCTAAAAACTAATAAGATAAAAAGAACAATCACTAAAACAGTAAAACCCTAAATTGGCCGTTATTGTTTATCGGAAAAAACGAAGCATTACTTGTCAGACTATCGGAGGCCGACTCTATCGTCTACGAGTATGTAGTATTCGATTAGTCGTTATCTGACATCTGTTGTTGATTTCGGAGAGATAGTGTGAAACCACTCCGACAAGTCACAATAATTTACTTTTCTAAAAATAAATCGGTTGTCAGCACGGCAATATTTTCGAGGTAATAATTTGAGTGCAACGATACGTATTGATTCAATGTTGAGTGTTCTAGAATATGTTACGTGTTCGGTGTTATTAAAACAAAACGTATATACCTAATTTATTTATAATAATAAAATCTATAATATTATCCATTATTATTTATTTCTAGTAGACAGTGTAAACTATGAATTTTTCCAATTGTCATTTCGAAAGTACTACGACTTACAAGAAAACTATTCAGTCTTATACAGTTATACCTTAAATGTATTAATGTTACGTGTTTTCTTTTGCTTGTGTATTTACGTAAGTACCTATTAATTTTACTCTCTCTATTATTAAAATATTATCTTCGATGTACAATCGACTATCGAATAGGTGTGTACACCAAGCGTCATTATTAAGTAGACGTCATACCCGCATACGTTGTCTCCGTCTTACACACGTACGACATTGTAAATGTTCGTTCACCAGTTTCAATAGTGTGCTTTTAGTTTTGATATTTGATTGAATTGACCTATTATCAAAATGTTGGTTAAGAACATTATCTTGTGTTGTTTTTTTTACAATATTTTAATTTTTAATCGAGTTATGAGTTTAAAAAATAAGATTAATTGAAAATTCTCATGATTCACTGGTCGTATGAGGTAGTCGCTACTCGATTTTTAGTTTTGACGTCCGGCGCGCGGCGTGCAACGGCCGTGGCGGCGGCAGTAGCTGCTCGTTCAAAAACCGTCACGTCACAACATACGCCCCTGTTACGTGTGTACCGATCTTTCGCGAACGGTACGCTTATAACGCGTTTTCATAACGTTTATAATGCGTTTATATTTTTCATACTCATAAGTCATAACTCATAACACTCATAACTCATTTAAAAATTAACCAACGAGAGAATATAGATAATGTTCTTAACTAAAATTTTGTAATAGGTAAATTCAATCAAATATCAAAACTAAAAGCACACTATTGAAACTGGTGAACGAAAATTGGCCATGTCGTACGTGTGTAAGACGGTGACAACACGTGGGGGTGCGACGTCCTCTGAATGTTTTTAAGTAATTTTGTATTTTATCAATACATTTTCTATTTATTGTTCGTACAAGTTTAACACTGTCCACGAATTATTCCACTAGTATGAAAAATTTTCTGCTTTTTTCAAAATAAAAATCACAAATCGAGTTTAAACATTTGAGCAAGTGTACCTATACTACTTCGCTGTACATTAAGTTATGAGTGAGTAACAGTACAAAAAGTTAAATTAATAGTTAATTTGTTAAATTTGAATTTAATGAAAATCATGATATCTATACAAAAAAACGATTCTGAGCTGAAACAGTCAATCAGCCTATATCACTAAGTATATAAATTTAATAATGAGTCTTTAATATAGCTATTAAAGTAATTTAATTACTATTAGTATTATGTTAGATTGATTACATTTTTTCCGAAACCATTGAATTTATCATATTATTGTTATCAATTTTTAAATTAATACCATCTTATCGTAAAACAGTGTGAATATCTAAAAATCAATTTATTTTAAAATATCATTGCGTTTAATAAAATGTATTATGTAGGTAAAAGTCTCCACGAATAATATTTTTGAATTATAAATTATAATAAAATAATTTCGTTTAAATTTAAACTTATATTATTCATAAAAATAGTTTTGATGTTTTTAAGTTTAGCATAAAAAACTTACGAAGTACATTGTTTTAAATTTACAAGCCTTACTAATAAAAATTGAACATTTTATAAATTTTCAAGTTGAAAACAGTTTGAAAATGTTCGTGATTTTGATGAATTTTGTAATAATTTTCACTTCAATTGCATATAATAATAATTATACTTTTGTATATTTAATATTTTTAAATAAATATAAAAACAACTTATGTGGGATTTTGTATAATTTTCAAGAATTTTGACTCAATGAATAATTTTTTATCGTCCATTCATAGAAAAAAGAGATAACACATTTAAATAGTTTATAAACAGCTCAAAAAGATTTAAACCATTTTTAAAATTGTGATTTTATATAAAAAATGATCATATATTATGATCTTGGATAATTGAATATACTTTTTTACGAAAAAAATATCTATAAATTGAATATAGATTTGCTCGTTTGGATAGTATTAAACGGCCGTGGCGGCGGCACTAGATGTTCGTTCAAAAACCGCCACGTTCACAATATACGTCCCTGTTACATGTGTACCGATCTTTCGCGAACGGTACGCTTATAACGCGTTTTCATAACGCTTAAAGCCGTCTACACACGGAGCTATTGATTAGAAACTAATTACTGACGCAAATCCCTAACCAGTTTACGTTTAGTCACTAACTATGTTTATTAATGATTATAGTCTATAGGTACTTATTACTTATTAAAATCCAACTATAATATCAATTTAAAGATGTTGAAATCAACAAAGAAATCCCGTGTTTAATAATTACGTACGTTTCTCTCGCATATTTATGTTTTGATGAAAACAATGGACCAATTTTTTTTAACGTTTTTTTTTTTATATGTATAGTGCATAGCCTCGTTATCATATGACTGATAAATAAATATCATAGTTAAAAAATAATTTGACTTGATTTATTGTTTCCTTAGATTTATTTTATTAAATGGTATAAACGTTGTAGTAGTACGCTTAAACAAATAATTTTAAAGGTGATAACATTTTATAATCAGGATTACTATTTATATATGTTGCCAAATTGTTGTATCTTCTAATACGTGACTCTTTGTATCTTTTTAATTTCAACGTCAATATATTTAATTCGTTTTTCAATTGCGAACACATAATTAAATTTCTATCTCTGTGTTCTGTATCATTAGATTCTAGTGACTTCGTCAAAGACAGCAGCTCCAAATTTTTCTATATGAAAAGTAAAGCTACCTAATTATATAAAGCAGGGCCGGTCTTAGGGAACTATGCGCCCTGGGCAAGAAAAATTAATGCGCCCTCTAGTCCAAGTTAAGTATTTTTTACTCAGAAGTCAGAATAAAAAACAAACTGATTTAATTAATTTTTATTACTGCAATAAATTTAAAGTAAAGTCATTTTTATAATAATAATATTAAGTATAATATATTTAATAGGTAGGTTATGATACGAATGTTTATATTTAAATAATCTTCATATTTGTAATGGAACTTTTCGTGCTTTTATCTCTGCAAATTCATTTACCAATGTTGTCCAATCGAGATTTTCTGCAATATCATTTTCAATAGATAAGATTGCAAGTGATGACAATCTCTCATCACTCATAGTTGACCTTACATATGTTTTAATTAGCTTAAGTTTTGAAAAACTACGTTCTCCAGATGCAACCGTAACAGGAATTGTCAAAAGAATCCTAAGTGCGATCCACACATTTGAAAAAATTTCTTTTGTGTCAGTATCCAATATATACTGTAAGACCTCTTTTGGTGCCTTATATTCTACTGGTAAAATTTGTCGAAGATGTATTAATTCATTTGCAAGGTCTACGCCATTAAGATCCGATTGCTGGCCCTCTGACAATTTTAGATGAAGATCCATACAGTGAGTAAGAAGCTCCGATTTTTCTGGTAACTTATCAAATTTATATAAAAATCCCCAAATACTTTTATGGGATTCCATTTGTTCAAAACGGTCTTCAATGACCACCAGAGCTGTATCAAGAAGCGAATAAAAAAATTCTCGCTTAAATATATTTTCTGGATCACTTTGCTCTTCATGTTGGCTTTCGTAATCAAACTGTCTTTTTCTTTTTCTCGATCGAGACAAATCATTGAATTTTTTTTCAATTCCAAGAATGTCTGCTAACTCATTTGCTTTCATAAGTGCGTCGTTATAACCTGATGTTCGGTATTTAGAAATATATTCTACACATGACTTCATGAGTGAAGTAGCAGTAACTACATCCATTGTTATACTCTGTAAAGATTTACTAACAATATTTATTTGGAATAATATGTCATACCACACAACAATTGAAATTAAAAACTTATAATCTGCTAGTTTATTGGCTAGACATTCTGCTTCGTGACGAGTTTGAATATCTCCCTGAGTAGTTTCTGAAATTTGTATTAACGCATTATAAATTTCTTTTATTTGGTATCGAATTGGTTTTAAACTGTCTATTCTACTTTCCCAACGAGTAACACTAAGGGGCTTTAATGTGAGTCCAGTAACATGGTTCTTCAGTATATCCCATCGTTGAACTGATGCAGAAAAAAATACATATATACGTTGTATGACGCCAAACAATGTTATCGAATCTTTTGATGAAGATGCTGCGTCTGAAACAACTAAATTAAGAGAGTGACATCCGCATGGTACATAGAATGCTCGAGAATTTATATTTAATATTCTAGCTTGGACTCCTTTATTTTTCCCTTTCATATTGGCACCGTTGTCGTACCCTTGACCACGACAATCACTGATATTAATATTATTTTCTTTTAATGCGTTTAACAAAACTTCAGCAAGTCCTTCTCCTGTTGAAGTATGAACTGTTCGGAAACCTATAAAATGCTCTTTTATTGAAACCATGCCATTTTCTTCTTCTACAAATCTCAGTGTGAATGACATTTTTTCGGAGTGACTCAAGTCTGGGGTGCAATCGAGTATAATTGAAAAATATTTACTTTTCTTTAAGCGATTTTGTATATTTTGTAAAACTTTATTACCTAATAAGTTTATTAATTCATTTTGGATTCGCTTGCTACAGTAATGATCAGCGCATTGTTTAGAAGATACTCGACGTAAGTGTTCAGACATCACTCCATCGAAATTTCCCAAAAGTTGTACAAGCTCTAAAAAATTACCAGCGTTGGGTGAAAACAGCTTTTCAGATGAACCCCGAAATGCTAAATTCTGTTTTGCTAAAAACAGTGTAATTGCTATTAAACGTTCTAAAACGGACCTCCAATGATGTATTTCCTTGTTGATAACTGATTGGTGTTGACTATCAATACATTTATTCTTTAAAAGCCTATTTTCAAATTCTTTCCACTTAGAATACATATTAATATGATTAGTTGATTTTTCGTGTTCTTTTAATTTATCACTTAAATGTTTCCAGTCATTCGATCCTAATTTAGCAAGTGAAGAAGAACCTCCGAATATTTTACAACAAAAACAAAATGCTTTATCTTTACTATAGGAATATATAAGCCACTGTCTGGTTATTTGTTGACCATTATCTAAAGTTCTAACGGTAAAATTCAAGGAAAAATGACGTTTATTTTCATCCAAGGGAAAATTAATATTTTCTATTTGAACTGGGCCATTAGAAATCAGTATTTCTTGATACTTGGTACTCAAAAAATTAGGCCACAATGCAGGATCAGAAAGACTATTCTTTGTAGTATTGTCTTCAATATTTTGATCACAATTGTTTTTCAATAATAATGGAGAATTACTATTATTGTCGGACTCTATAGATTCATTATCAATGCCTACACATGAAGTATCGTCAGAAATAATAACATTAGTTTGATTATTATCGTTATTATGATATGATGTAGAAGGGTGTTCGTTAATTTGGTCAACGTCAGATAGGATAAATTTATTCATAGACCCTTGCATTTTTTTCAAATCGCATTCTTTTTGAAATTTTCGTTTTCTATTTTGAGCACCAGAAAGTTTTTTCGGTACCATTTTCTAAAATTCAAAAATTAATTTTATGTATAAAATACGTTTTCGAAAAATATAATCTAGAAATATAACTGTATAAGGAACTATAATAATATAATACTTAATAATTATAAGAATTAGAAATACTTCTAACTAATATTGTAGTGTAAAGTATTATATTCAAAATGGTATATCATAATTTTCCGGTTTTTTTATCCGGTTACCAGTAAAGTATTATAATATAAAATATGATAACTTATTTACTTACGAAAATTAAATGTTCACTATTCGATGACACCGTGCAAAATACTAAAATAGGTAGGTATTAGGACAAATTATTGTAGGACAACTTAACAGATAATCAACTGTGGCGGGTATTGTACGTATACCTGTCAAACTGACTCACGAAATAAGATTATCAGTACCCGCATCATTGATTCGACTATCTATTTTCGTTAATCGTTAGTATGTAACAAATATGGTTTTTCTCAAGATATCTTAAAATCGTTGTTATACATTATTGTATTTACTCGAATTATTAAAAATAATTTGAATTACAAAAACTATTGTCAAAAAATTAATATTTGAACTCTGAAGGCGCCCCTAATATATTGGCGCCCTGGGCTGTCGCCCAGCTCGCCCACCCCTAAGACCGGCCCTGATATAAAGTAATATTTGAAAAGTGTTTATAATTGATAGTTAATTATTTTAGTGTACCTTTTCAAACAATTGTTTAAGTTGTATAAATTGATTTTTGGTACTTTGTCTGAAGTGTTTTATGATTTTGTCTCTTATACTTGAAGCAACCGAGTCTTTTATAGCAAATTTATATTTTTTATCTTTCTAAAAAAATAATTTTGTTACTTTACGCATATAATTATTAACATAAAAGTACTTTATCTTGGAGTAATTGTTTAATCCTATGATTCCGGTTCCAATCCAATGAATCGATTTTTAACTTAAACTCTGATCGTTCTTGACTACGCGTTTCCAGTATCTGTATAACATTATCTTCCAATTTCGAAACGTTAATAAGTGATTTTTTTTCAATTTCAATCATGTCTTGTAACATGATATACGCTTCATGAGTTTTCAAAAGACTCACATATGGATAAACGATATCTTCAATGACTGATTCGGGATTGAACTTTTCATTTTTTATTGAACTATAAGTTGGCTTTTTAAATAGTCTACTCGATTGTGTGATCTGACCTTCTCCATATTGATATTGAACATAAATAGTACCACTTTCAAGATCAAAACTTAAAGTGGCAATATCTAGATCTTTATGTTTCGATTCATTTCTTAAATATTTTTTCAATTACACACTGCAATATATTTTAATAACATATTATCTAAAAAAATACTAAAAATAAACCTAATATTAGTAAGCTACATATTAAAATACCGAAGTAAAGTATTATAATAATATATACAACTTATTAACATTAAGTGAAACATCGTCATCGTACCTAATGACATAGTTATTTACATTTATATTCATATGTTCTAAGAAATAATTTATGTAGTGTTTTTTCCGAATAAAACCGATTATATCAAGAGTTATTAATATTCACCTTCGGTTTCCTTTTATCGTTTATATTCTGGGAATTATTGCTTATTGTTCTACAAAATACACACAGCTGCCAGAATAATAAATCCGATCTGAAATTATAACGGAGTATTTAATAGCATTAATTTTATTAGAATGCAATATCAATTTCAATTACATATTAACGTAGTATTAAATTATTAAACTATAGGTACATTGATAATAGAATTGAATACTTTTAAATAATTCCAGGAATTTTATGCTCCTGCATATCGTATTGATTAATTAAAAAAAATAACTAGGCAAGAGTGATAAGACACAATTCGAATATCAGCTTAATGAGTTAATGGAAGAAATTTGATTTTGTATATCTGTGTGTAGTTGGTACATGTTTAATTATCATGCATATATTAGCGTTTTTCAAAAATATAACGAATATATTGAAAAAAAATAAATAGTATTAAATTTATAGTTTTTGTTGGGAAATGTCGCATCTAAACAATAAATTGTTTAAATTAAATTAACTTAAACAGAAAAAGTAAATCAAAAATGTGTAATTAATAGCATATTCAATATTGCAAAGGTATAATGCGATTTACTATTTAGTGATTATAGAACTTACAAACCTATCGTTATACGTTATAATGAAACTATTTTCATTAATTTTAATTTCAGCCATTGAATCAAGCCTCAAATTATAAAATGTGATTAAACGCGTGGTCTCTATATTGTTACAATCACCATAAAACTTATGTTCTGTAAAAATATACATAACAATTTTGGATTACTATTTTTTTTTTTTTAATATTTTTAAAACTGTACTTTTTAAATAGTCATCTCGGCCGGGTTTAAAATATTCTATAGTTTCAATTCCTTTGACGGTATATTTTGTGTCAATACAGATCAATTTGTCTACTCTATTTTTAAATATTTCTTGAATAAATATTTTGTTTAAATACTCTTGTTCGGTATAAAACGTTGTTCTTTTAATCAGTCCATTAGGCATGACATAATCAGCATAAAACTCTTTAATTGCATTCATATATGGCACGATTTTTTTACCGTTTGGATACAGCATAAGATATTCTATATACAATTTACGTTTTAGCGTAATAAAATAATTGTAGTTTATTTTTTAAAAACAAAACACTTACTATTTATAGGAACTTCTATAGCAGTGACCCACGAATTGGGCATCTCAAGACTTTTTAAATTACTTCTTTGTACATTTTGAAGTTTGTCTGGTAAAAAATGTTCCCAATAATTTGTACTCATTAAAGTAAAATTATATTGCTTTATAAAATAAAAAAAATTAAAAATTAAGTTGGCAAAATTTTTTAAATTTAATCATCAATAATAGGTACACACCGTACAACCTCCTACCAAGGGCTGCAAATTAACCCAATAATTATTATGATTCCAAACCACTTCTATTCCAATGTAATTTTCATCAGACATTTCTTTCCGTTCACCTGTACTAGGTTCAATGAAATATGGAACCTCAGATATATATGTATCGTCTTCAGTTTCCAACGGCATAATCATGACCCATGCGTGTACTCGTTTACCAAATAGCGGATCGGACAAATTTTCAAATTCTATCTGAAAATTGTGGTTATTTGATAAATGAACAAAAATAACATACACATTTTTCATAAATAAAATTCATGTTTATACGATTGTACCTCTATTGTTTCATCATTTACTACAATTTCATTTTTTTTCTTCTTCCATTAAGAAGTTAACATAATCATTACACAAATCAATCATAGGTTCTACGGCATAAGGATCATCTATAATGTCTTCCTTACTCTCAGAATTTAATTCTTGTTCATCCTTTTTATCATTAATATAAATATATTAATTAATTTCGAATAAATATTATGATACATACGATTGGTTCTTTTGGAATATCTATCTTGATTTTTCGTAGATCATTATTACACACAATTTCTGTGGCATATCCATATATAACAAAAGCATTGTACCCACAACCAATTAAAAATGATACTAATAATATTGCCAATTCAAAACAATTAGCGATTTGCGTTTTTAATGTCGTTGCAGGAGATACAATTTTGTTAGGCTAAAAATGTATGGGATTAATTATTATTTTGATTATTCTTTTATGACCTATCACTTATAATTTTCCTGTTTACGCAGTTAATGTGCTATAGCCAAAACTTTGAAATAATATTTTTTGGTATCGAAAATACTAACACAAATCAGAAAACTATAATTTAAGAATTATAATCGTAATTTTAGATTTTAGTATAGATATTATGTACAGCCAGCATTTAAGGCGTTGCACGCTAATATACTTAACGTAAAAATAATAATTTGAATTTTATAATAATATATACTATACCAAAGCTAGAGGATCTTTTAACTTGACATATGTTATGTGTTTAGCCACAAACTGACTGTAACTGATCAATTCGATCAAATCGGAATAGACTAATCGAGATGGTTTGATTGTAGTACAAACAACTTTCTAAAAATATTATATAATATTATTAGCTGTAATAAGTTATAATTATGACTGTAATTTCTATTTAAATACATATTTTATAAAAAATATAACACATTTATTTTGGATTGGTTTTAATTAATACATTTCATTTGATTTGTGATAAAATAGAGATATATATTTTATTTTATTTACATATTTCATAATTATTCGTTTTTTATTCTTGATTACAGAAAAAAAACTTAAGAGCCTATAATTACATTTTCAATCCTTACGTGTTAAAACTAATATTTTATGAATATTTTAAAATAAGATAATTAATTCTAATGAATTTCGTAAAAATATTAACTATTTTTATACTTGTAAAAATATGAGACTATAATATGCATTCGATATTTATTAATTGTTCTAATAACTTTTAAGGTACCGGGTTTTAAGTTTCAAGATTTTTTACTCACAAAAAATATTGCATCATGGCACTTCAATCGAAAAAATTTAAAATATTTCAAATGCCTATATTATCATTCATGAAAAGAGTAAAAAATTATTTAAAATGCATATTCTTCTAGAAAATACTGAAAATTTGAAATGTTAACTGTCATTCAATTTTAAACAATACATAAATAAACAGATTTTGTTAAAAACTGTTCTCTAATTTAGCTTTACTTATTCCATAATTAAAAAGTATCTACTATATTTTTTTTTATGACCTCCAAAATATAACTATATTCAAGTTGCTACTCATATAGTCATAGAGACATTAATAACTTATTATTACAAACATTTTCTAAACTACATTAAATTATTTCATATATTTTACAGAAACGATATCTTACTCGGACACCGCATTCATTTTGTGGTATTAAAACTAACTGCCGTCTATCAGGATATTTTACTTTAAATTGTTCAATAAAATTTTCAGCACAAAAAACTATTAGCTTTTCAATATTTGAATTTTTCGTGTATGATTCTGGAAAGATTTCTGGTATACTTTCGCTACAACATAATAATACAATTTTTTTCCGTGTATAACATTCTTAACCGACACATAAAATTTAATCAAAAATAACTTTTTTCTACTTGTAGATAATGAACATAGCAGATTTTCTTCCCACTCATAACTTTTCACAAATAGTACTCAAATGTGTAATTGTAAGTTAAACGCAAAAGAATAAACCCATTTTTGTCTATTTCAATGAAAGAAGAAATTAAAAGTAAAAAAACAGTGTATGAATTATATATGCGCACATTTGAAGTAAAACTTTTTACGCTTAAACAGCTAGATTAAATTGTATTGTTTTTATAGGGATTGAAATGAAATGCTTATAGAATGACATACAATACTGTTTGAATATAAATATTTTTTTAAATTTATTTTTGTAATCTGTACATTACTGTAGGTGCTTCGATAGTTTGTATATTTTGTGTTTGATGGTGCTGCATAGCTATGAATGGGTTTACGTTAAGTTAATTTATGTCTTGAATCTTGATTCATCGGTTTTGAAAGGAAAATAATGTGTTTATTACTAGTGGTAAATAATGAAAAAAATCCCAAAGATAATACAAATAATTTAATTAACTCAGGTTGATTTAATTCAAGTTGGCTGTGAACGCAGCTTTTCAAAGTTAAAATTTGTGAATAATTATGTAAGAAACACGTTGAATTAAAAATTGTTGGAAAGTTTTACGTTAATGAGTGTTGAAAAAGACTTATTATTAAGTATTGACCCAAATGAAATTATAACCAAATTGGCTTCAAGAAATATAATGTATCGTAAATTATTATTATTTTAAATGTTTCTCTTAAACTTATTTCTGTACTAAATTTTTCTTGATACTAACTTTTAAAATTAATCAAGTGTCATTTGGACTACCTTAAAAATTGTACATTTTAAATTCTACATTGTTATATTTTAATACATTTTTTTTAAATTGATTTTAAAAATATAAGAAAGAAAGAATTGCTAATATAAAAATTATATATTTAAAAAAAATAATGCCTCGTTTATATATTTTTTATTATTTATATTATGAGGCGCTAAAAAATATATCTCGGTTGGCCAAAAATCGCCTATCCACCCAAGGATGTTGAACTAACTTTATATCATCAGCATAATCATTAAATTCTTCTTCTCCTTCTCGTCCTCCTTCTTCTTCTTCTATTATATTATCTCTGATTAATAATGAACAATCAATATTGTTACTAGAATTGGAGCTGGTGAACGAATTATCATCGTTAATAGTATCTAAATAATCATCTACGGTTTCTTCAACCAGATTATATGAATAAAAATCTTCCCATAACCAATCTAGTGAATCGGAACTCATTTAAGAGGAAATTAAATAATTTTTAATACAAGAAATAAGACACGAAATATTTATTTAACTAATAAAATCAATTGAATAATAATTAATAATGTTTAATCGAAAACGTTAGTTACCAAATTGTATATTTATATTCAATTTTTTATTTATTTTATTATTCCTTTAATAAAATTGTTAATATGAAAAAAATTTCACTCGATTAAAAAATTGAAAATTGAATACTGGATCCCACATAATTTTTTCTTATAGCGATATAAAAATATTAAAAATATACAGACACAATTTATTTTTATAAGCATTAGAAGTTCAAATTGTTTACAACATTTTCACATAAATTTCCAGTTATCTGATACTCAAAGTTTATAACAATTATAACTATTGATTATAGAATATAATATATTAGTATAATATATATAGTATATTCTATAATCAATGCTATAACATAATAATATGGTATAAATATAAACATATTGTGATACAGTGGTAGCGATAGTTTCCAACAATCGTGATTTTGATTTTAAAGTCTATTGATCTATGGCCATAGATAATTACAATAAAAAAAATATTCTATTATTTTCTTACCTATCTAACGGGTGCTATGTACTATGGAATATTGTCTATCATTTCACATCATCGATCACATTGCTTATTATTCAATATTAATTTATACGTACTCACGAACGTTCCGTATACTCTCGTATCCGCCATTTTTGCAAGTTCTCGGGACGCATGTTTAAAGGTATTTAGTCTCATGCTTAAAATTAATTCAACCTTTTATTAAAATAAAATTATATTACGATGTGTTCAAATGTTCAATGTTCAATTTGGTGCGTATACAACACTCTGCCACTGGTCCCTGTCTTGTGCTTTTTAACATTTTAAACATTATTTCAAGTTGTATTTTCTGGAATATAGAATGATTTTTTTGACAAAAATATATCTTTACTGTGAGTCTATTTGAAATTCATAAAACGCTATTTTCGTCACTTTTGATGATATTATCAATCACTATATGATGAATAACGAACGTAATTTAAAAGCATGAAATATTGTGTTGGAGGTAAAGGTAACTTATTTACTGGTAAAATAGGCAAATATCTACTGTTTTGTGTTTATCGGTTATTTGTAGTGAAGGTTTATAGATTAGAGTGTGTATTACATTTGATAAGTTAATTTCAAGTGCCTAGTAGGTAAATAAGTAGCTAACTTATGGCCTATGGGTAGTTAAGTATTGTAATTGAAAAATATATTTATTTTAATTTGTGGTATAAATATGTACAATGTCTAAACGTTTACCAAGTCTTTCCATAAATCATAGACGTATATAAATGGGAACAAAGTAGCTATAAGCACCAATAATAAATAATTGTACAAAACTTATATACGAAAAAAAAAATGAATTTATATTAAAACAATATAATATACAAGATATAGAAATAGATAATGTGTACTGTCCAACAGTGTTTGTCATGTTTGTGGAAAATAAAAAAGAAAATGCAATTTAAAACTTTTATACATTTTTCCAAACAGTTTTCTACACATTCTTTATCATATGTATGTATATTCGATACTGAAGGTTACAACATTTTTTTCAATTTTATCGTTTTTACAAAATTGATCTAAAAGCTTTTTGAACATTAGGGATTTCTCTTGAAAAAGCTAGTTAAACACAATCGATTGCGATAAATGAGAAAATCAAGTAAGGGGCCGGGCTTTTTACGTATTATCTTAAAATAATTTTTTTGTCTTCGACAATGTCATGAAATCAATTATTATTATATTTCCTGACTATCGACTATTTTAAAGTAGGTAAAGAAAAAAAGTCTCACTGCTGTCTACTTTTAAGTGAAAACAATTTTCATTTACCGCGTTTGTTTGCAAACTACCTATTTTTCTTTCTCACCTCAGGTATCATACAGCAGTTTTATTTCGATGTAAGACGTGAAAATATTTTCACCATCTTATATTATCATAATGTCGACGTTATCTGCGGATAAGGATCAAAATACCATTGAAACAAACTCTGTTTCGAGTATTGATGAACCTTTTGTAGAGTTTGAGTCTTCAGAATTCGTTCCGACACCGCCGGAAAAATTCAACGACGCTTTCTTGTTTGTCGTGTTATGTCCACCTGACGGCGGTCCTTGGGCTATATTCACGTGCATATTAGGATTCCTGGCCCTATTGATTTGCGACGGCGTTTGCTTATCCTTCATTCTGTTCGATGGCCGTTTTGGTATGGTCGAAAACTTGCCGTCCGGAACACGCACCTTCGAACACTTGGCCGTGATCTATTTGCTCCGTTACTTGACCGGTAATTATACAATAATTATAATTTTTAATATTTACATGTGTCCGTGTATACATATTATATAATATGAAATATGTATTTATAATATAAGCGTATATTTGCAAATCTTAAGTATATACTATATAAAGTCATTATTTAAAAGTTTTTCCTGCAGTACCAATAGACAATAGGGGTTATAAATTGGCGAAATTGTGTATACATATAATTATGGCCTAGTATACTATTGTAATTTCATTAAATAATATGTGCACGAACTCGCGACAGTGTAAGTTTAATAAATATGTACGATATACGTGGTTGTGATTATATTTTATAAGTATAATATTTATAATATATTTTACTGTAAATGACGTTAAACGAAAAATAACGTTATTCATTATCATCAGTCATTATTAATGTCGTTGCTTAATACATAGATAATAATCGTTGTAAAGTATATAACCGTAGATATTCAGGTGTGTCAGGAAGTTGACACCCCTTCAATAACAATTTTTTTTTAAGTTACGAGTATGTAGCGCAGTTTAAGTGGAGCACAACAGTTTGAAAAAGACGAACAAAGCAAGTATACCGCTCTTCACTCTTCAGTACAGTAAGTATTGATTGAATCACTAGAATGGATGTGTTAAATTTAAATTCAACGATATATTATAGAATGTAAAAACGATTCTGAGCAGAAACAGTCTATCATTTTATTATTTTTAGAAAACGCTAATATAATTTGGTAAAAATGCCAAGTATTTATAATCATTTGTAGTTTATAAATCGATATATACAACTGTATAAATTATTCCTTTTTGAAAATCCTACAACAATATAACACAATATTTTTTTTTTAAACTACAGGAGTTTGCTTATAAATTTCTGTTCTTCCTTAATGTTTTATTTATTTTCTTCGGTTATCTTAAAAAATATTGCAATTTTTAATTTTGGCCTCTCAAAAGTACAAAATAGATCTATAATTTTTTATCAGAAATCACCTTCATCCTTTAAGGTTAAAATTGAAGCACTTTTCAACTATACTAATCGTGTATACAGTATAATATAATCATATAATTCATAAATATCTCGTATCTGGTAATTTTGAACATTTACCTTTTTCATATTATAGACGTGATTGACTGAAAAAAATTACTATAATTCGTAGTAAAGAACATAAATAATTGTACTACGATAGGTACGTAATCTACTGTATTATATTATTAACACCTACATGCAGCTACGTAGACTGTTATAGTTTTAATTAAACTTAAGAGTGTAAAATTGCAATCAATAAGTCTTGTATGCCTTTATTGTGTGTTTCTGATTACAATGTACAATTTAAAAACGATTATTCAAAAGCAGGGTAATTATGACTTTAAGCTAAATTATAATTTATTATTTATTATGTTTAAATATATTCTAGCTTCATTCACTTTTATCAATTTAATTCGAAAGCGACGGCGTATATTTCTATAAAGTACCTATAATACTACCAATAATAATATGCAAATTTATGTTTATATCGATAGTCTATGAAATTTTATATATTTATTCTATAGTTACAAGTAAAAAAAAAAAAATAATACGGTTAATACTAATATAGGCTATTATAAAAACAGCTTGTTACATAAATAATGTTTAAAAAATTGTACATTTTATAACCAGATAAATTGGCAACCATTAACTATTACGGTTTGTTTTCTTTTTAGCCATTAAGTTCAGTATCCATATAGTTGGTTGATAAGAAACACATTTAGAAAACAATTACATACGAAAATGCAAAATTTACATGATATTATATTATATTACATCATAATATTATATTCCACCTTGTATGCACGTATAATCTACAATCGATATTTTTTATGACCTATTTTTATATTTTCGTTTAATACATATAATTTGTATATATTATTACGTGTCCTATCAGCTAACAGTAATCCATTATTTTATCCTTTCAACTAGCTCTGATAATAATTGATACTATGAACTATGTACGTAGTAGATAGTCGATAAAAAAATCCTAAAATTTGCAATCGACTATTATGCACATAACATATGCATAATGTATCTTTAATCACATTTCAATAGTTTTTTTTGTCTGATGTTCAATTCTTTTTAGTTAATTTAATACTTTGCATACTTTGCGTGTATATATGCATGTAAATTATTAAAAACAAATATTATGCAGAATTTAATGACAACGTGTAAAATATTATGCATATTTTATTTTATCAACATTAATTAAATATCTTACTTTGAAATTTCAGTTTACAATACCTTTAGTATATATTGTCTAAGTTTTTGTTATACTATACGTTTATTATAAAGTATAATATAAACTTTTAAGTAGAAATAGTTTATATATACAAATCATTACATTTTGTTTGTAGAACCGTTTTCATGTGCGTACATCAATCTATATGGTTTTAGATGTTGTTTATTTATTGGCAGTTTATTGTCCATCATGTGGCTCACGATGTTGTGTTTTATTGAAAATACATTTACTCACGAACATTACATTTTGGCCATTATTGGTGGTAAGTGCAAAAAAACACTGTATAGATGTGAACGTTTAATAACATTTTTATATTACACAATTACATAATCTATAATTTGTATAATAATTTATCGATAATTTATTCACTAGAATTTAGAGTTACAATACAATTAATAAAACATATGAGTTAGTTTCATAAATTCAGGATATAGACTATAATATAGTTTAAATTAATGAGTGGGCCCGAGAAATGGGCATGAACAAAAAAATATATATCATTAACAATTAATGTAATTTTTTAAATAATCTAGTACCTAAAATGTTATAAAAATGCTATGTATATGTGACCAATATTTTATTTGTATAATAAATATGTTGTAAACTTAAACAAATTTAGGAATTGGAATGGGGATGATTAAAACATCATTCTTCGTTTTGCTGTCCGCGCTGTTTGTTGTAAGACGCCATACGGCACATTTATCTCTTCATCTAGGAAGCTTCACTGGCATGCTAATAATCCCGCCTATTACCGAATTCCAATTACTATCGTCGGCAGACTTGAAAACAGCATTGTATACGAATTTAGGTTTGTGCAAGTATATGATATGTTGATATAGTATAAAATGAAGTGGTGTTGCCAGGATTTTGACTATTATTAGAGGGAGGGAGAGAAGCTGATAATTAATAATTATATAGGTTGGTAAATTTACAAGGATTAATTTAATATAGGTATAGATACTCTGATGTGAGTATATTTTTAATTTTGGTTTTTATGCATTTTATTATCTATGCTAAGACACGTGTTTAATTAATAAATTAGGAAATCTTAGTATACCTTATCATTGATTTTTAACAAAGTTACATATATCTATTGTAAAGTATTGTTATGAAAGAAATAATGGAAAAAATTACTAATTTCTTATTGTACCTATAAATAAAATATTAAAATTTCAACAGAACTCTATTCTATTAAAAAAAAAAAAAAAAAAACAATAGTAAAGAAAGTACTTCAATAGTACTTTCATAATATTCAACATTATTTTGAAACAATTGCTGTTATTAATAAATTTTAATTAAATTATAGAAATAAATGTAACTTTCTAACTTTCTTACCATTCTACAATAAGAAAATTTGTCCAAAATGACTTCAACTGATATTTAAAAAAAATATTTTTATAAATAAATAATAAAGCCATGCCAATAAGTCTGAATTACGTATAATAACTGATGTTGAATTTCTAAGGTAGTAGTTTATTGTTTTATAAGAAAATTTAAAAAAATACTTTATACGTTTTTGTAAATTTCATACAACTATGAAGAACAATATCAGTTTTCCTGAAATTTTTGGTAGTGTTGCAACCTGGCTACACCACTGATATAGTGTTAAATGAAATATTAAACTTTACAAGATAAACACTTATACCATTACAAATAGTTTAAGTTATTAAAGTTAAATACGTTTAAGATATATACTTCATTAATGTAGGTATAATGTGCTTTACACTTGTATTCTGGTTGTTTGTATCAACACCGGTGACGTTAAAATTAGACATAGACGTTAAAGAATCTACTACCGATTCTACTTCTCCACGATCAAGAACCGAGACCACGGCCTGGAACATAGAAAACTTCCACAATATGTATAAATCTTTAACTATACATGACACGATCGGAAATCGAAAGTGAGACATTTTTTAACCTTTTTTTTTATTTTTATAAACACACAAAATATATTTTATCCAATATTTTTCATGGTACATATTATACAATCATACGGACTTCAGCGATTATTATTAATAATGATTTTATTACTTATAATGTTCAATATATAAAATATCAATTGTTATTTATTTCGAGAAAAAAGGTCGATTAAAGGATTTTACCTCCATTCTTTTCTTTATATTCCATTCATACTTCTCGTGATGTATAAAATATTGTATCAATTAAGCTTAATGCTTAATGCTTAATTATTGTAATAAATTTCCTGATAAAAAAAATTATATTAAATAAAGATGGGTAAAATAGTTGTACAGTTCAGAATAGCTGTCATTTTATAAAGTTCCGACACAGTTAAATTTTAATTTTTTTACAATCAACCTTCAAGATACTCGAATACCCGTGTTTATCTTATTAATATTTTTGTGTTAAAATTAAGTTTCACGCTGTGCAATATAATTAAATTTTTTAATAATAATCATGCGTCTTTAACGTAACTTTTTTTTTTCATGCATTACTGAAATTAAACTTTTTGTTAAAAATGATTTGGTAATAACATTTCGAATAAAAAGAATTTGAACATCTGTGCAATTAAGGTATTGTAACGATTGTCAGTTAAATATACGTTACATTTTAACAACGTGTACCCTACTTAAGGAATAATATACGATGTTGATAGACGACAATCGTTACAGTATTGAACGATTCTAGCTATAGTAGACACACTACAATTTATAAAATCCCACTTAAATATATAAAATTATTTAACACGTGTGTTACGTTTTAAAATCATTTAAGTTTTTGACGTTATTTGTGTGGAAAAGTACGTGGATCCTGAGGTGATATAAGTAATTAAAGACATTTACTATAGTTTTTAGTCTTGTAGACCGTGATGCATATTTATTATATTATTGTAATATATAGGGCTGTGAATTTGTAGGAAAGTATATTTTATTATTTTTTTTTTTTTGTGTGTGATTATGAAACGAAGTTTAGCGAGTACATAATTTGAATTTTGTAAAAACAAATCCATTTATGAAACTTTTATTTTGCATTTTTTGACGTTTTAAATTTTTTTAGGTCATATTTTTTTTTCATTTGTAGGTCTATTTTCCTTTTTTAGTTTATGTTCCGGTATTTTTAATTAAATTCCATTAATTAACACCTTTAAAAACCTAATTATTAAAAAAGTAAATATATAAAAAAAATAAAAAAGTTTCAGATTAATAGAGATTCAAATTCAATCAACATTTTTAATATTTTTTTTTTATCAAATAAACACATTTTTATGCATGTAAAATGTAATGTACTAAATGTATAATATCCTATAATATCAATATAAATATAAAAATTGAATTAAAAACCATTTTAAGTGTATTTTTTACTACAACTTTTGGTAATTTTTATTACATTTTTCACATTTTAAATGCATATTTTATTGCATTTTTAAGGATTTATAGTGCATCCAATTTACAGCCCTAGTAATATATATATATGTTATAAGAATCAATCTTAGTTCGTCATAAGTACTCATGGTAATACCTATCGATATAAAAGTAAACATAATATACTAATATAATATTGCTATCTATATAATATATGACAGGTGTTTAGTATAATTTACTGATTGTAGATCAAATGTATCATTAATTGCTATTGTTATTGTAGATTGTTTACAAGCATCTTTTTAGCGAACATGCCGATAATCGTGAATGCGGAACCACTGAAGTATGCCGTTCGAAATTTAAACTATTCAAATTGGATCTATGAAGAATATCAAAATCGTAGGTTGTGCGTCCGAAATATCACTAACATGTTTAAAAACGATTTAATTGGCAGTCGGCCAATGTATAGAAATGACATACTCTACGACGGAAACATTTCCTTATTGTTGACGACCAATACAAAGGTTTTATTCGATACCAAAATATATAATATATCGATTGTCAATACATATATCCTTATATCACGTAGATAAATGGTTTTAACTGTAGTCAATGTGATGTTTAAGAAGTTAAAAAAATCTATTCGTTTTTGGCATGCTAAATAATTTTGCAAGTATCTTTAAAACTAATACTTGCAAGACCCTAAAAAAATTGTTTTAAAATCATTAAAAACACATATATTATATTCTATCTACGTACACCTAACACGTCTATACATATTCATAATTAATTTCATAATTTTTCTATAGTGTACAAAAAACAATATTATCAAGTATAATGAATACTTAATGGCGATGACTCGTATTTATACCATGGCTGACGTTGACGAAGAAAGATGTAGACGGTTCAGTTTAAAATGCCCAATAGCCATAAATCGAGTTTTGAAATGTATGTTTAACATGTCAATCTGGTTCAATGAACAATTTCTCTTGATGGTAGCCAGTGAGGCATTGATTCATGCTGCCTGTTTGATACCATTCATGTTCATTAAAGGTATATTATGTCCAAATAAATCAACGTGTCAGCTATATTATAATAAAATAACATTCAATAAAATATTCGTGAATTTTTTTTCAATTAAATCTAAATACCTAATTAAATTAAATTTTATTCTATTGTTAATCCTCGTTTGCGTAAATATATTACAAAGTAGAAAATCAGGAATCGCACACAATAATGTCCCGGTATTATGCACTATGTCCAATTTTTGTAGTCAAATTATGGAAAAGTCTACATTGTCTAGACATTGCACATAATGATTACATAAAGACAGTAAACTAGTTTTAAAATATAATTAAAAGCATACCTAATATTACTTTTTGTATTAACACTAGTTAAAACTAAAATAAGCGATTAATTTAAAATATTAAAACTAAACCATTAGAAAACAAAATGTGATCAAATGTATTAGATATATTATTAAATTAAAAAAAACTTACATCATTGATTATGATTAGCCATGCGTTTATTTACTAACCAAATAAAATTTAAATTAGGTCAATCCACTTTGATATCTTTATAAATTTGATAAATTTAAACATAGATATGATATGGTTAATCAAATCCAAAACAATATTTATTTAATATTAAGACGCCCCGTGCTTTGTTTCAGATTGAATATCAGTTATCAATACGTAATTTTTGTTAATATAATACACTGTACCTCCCCCCCACCGAAAAAATATATTAATAAGTATCAACCTACGATATATCAGTATAAAAAAATTATAATTAAGGTGGTAACTAAAATATAATTTTTAAATTTTATAGAATTGCGGATAATTTGAATTTTGGCATCGGGCCCCTTACAATTTACGCGTTATACCAAAATAATGATGATGATTATTTCTATGTTAAATATACCTATAATACATGTATCATTATTATAGGTCCTGTGGGTCAAAAGACGTCTGCAGAAGCCATGATTACTCTTATAGCGGGCTGCTTTGGTTTGTTGTATGGTCGAGGACTAGGTCATGTGTTGCACGGCAGGTCACCAGACCCAGTACCTCTGTATCATGTTGGCCTGACAATGATAGCTAATGGACTATCGTTGCTCCTATGCGCCACGACTATCAATGAGATTTACAATCTAGTGCCGTATTTCGGATTTTTTGGAATTACTTTCGGTAAACTTATAAAACATCATGAATATTAATAATTTATTATAATGTCAGAAAAAACTAATGCATGTTAAATTATCAAGCCATAAAAATAATGATTTGGTTTTTAAATAAGTGTTTTTCTTACTCTTTGGTCATGGATTAATAATTATCGATTTTCGTTATAAATACCACCTAGACCAGAGATTATGGCAAAGTTGATAACTGCGTGTAAAATCAAAATGTTTGGTATGATTTTATTTGCTTTACGTGCGTCAGAAAATTTTCAAACCTTTTTTTGCTTAAATAATAATCAATTAAACATATAAACAGGATTTTATTTGCTGTTACATTTAAATTTTACAGTATTTACTATTTACTATTACATATTAATATAAACGCATAATTTTAAACACTAAAATAATAAAATTTTTAAGAAATATATTAAAATAATTACAAAAACTAATTTTTAATAAGAAATCTGTTGCTGCATTTTTCCAGCTAACCGTGAAGGTTAAGTCCTGGAAATATAAACTTTTTGGAAAGTAATATAAAAATTATAAATTGTAATTAAATTGGCGTGTCACTGAAATAATGTGCGCGTGTCACCCTGTGACATAGGTTCGTCATCTCTAACCTAGACCATTCATCCCCATGTATTTATGTAAACGATTTACATATTATACAGAATACAGGGTAATATATCGTTATAATTCGAAATAATTTAAATTTATAGTAAAATAGTATATTATATTACTTTATGGTCAATACATTGATGTTTACTGTATATTATCTTTATATTAAACTATTTCAGGATATTACAAATCGATTCAAAACGTAGTGCTGTACACTGCTTTTCCAACTAAGAAATTTAACAATGTATGCGGACAAATTTCATTGGTCCGAGGTGTATCGTCGTTTGTTGGGATTCTGATAGCATGTATATACATTTTTTTTAATGAATTTAATTTTATTCATAAATATTTAATGATTTTAATGTACGATTTTAGTAGGTATTGAGATATGAAACAACATGAGTGTTCTCGTTTATATAAATTAAATATAAACTATGGAGGTAGATTATAACTATGATTCACACACGTCGTACTAGGTGTCTATTTCCTTAATTTAAAGGATTTCTAATTAAATGTTACCATAATGTATCCCTAAACCGTTTAACCGAGTGAATGTACTCGTATACGTATATTATAATGAAATTTAATTTTATAAAATATTTTGAATAATAATGTTTATACATTTGCTAAATTGTCCACCTGTATAATAGACTCGCAAAATCGGTTTCGATATTAATGCGATTAAATAAAGTAAATCAAATCAAATGAAGTTTGTATGATAAACCACAAATAACGCATATTTTTCAGTATAATCCATGTTCATGTGATTTGACGACGAACGTCAAATAAAATACTAATGCATTTAATATTTGCAAATGCTCGTAATGCTAATTCCGAGAAAATAGTATTTTATATAGTATGTTATATCAATAATACCTACATTAATCTGTATTTAACATTTTTAAATTTCGATGTACGTATAAATTATAATCTAAAAATGAAAAATACCATTAAAAATATAATTAAATGTTTTAAATATTCGTTATATCTATTCAACAATATATACGTATAAGAGATCTTTACGACTATTGTACATAGTTAATTAAGTACCACTCACTACCACTAGAAAAAATAGATAGTTCATTTTTCAATCCCAGCCCTATAGTTGTTATCCCTATGTTATAACAATTTTATGATCTCAAGTCGGTGAGCTATGGATAAATTCATAAAACCGAATTCCCTTTACCACAATCACAAGACAAAATCTTTAATACGCTGCACGTATATATAAATATGTATGTGTGTGTTAATACGACGATCGTGATGAACGAGTTGTTTTAAACATTACTATTAAAAAAAATAATAATAATGACATCGATAATAATTTAGAATGATCATCTGAATGTAAAAATTAAATTTTGATTTAGTGTTTAAAATTTCCATCGGTCTTTGATAAATTTTTACTGTTTTCCAGTAAACATAATGCGACCAGGGAACGGCGGTTTGCCGGCCTCGAGCTGCGAAGGAGTATACGTTTACGCAGGAATACTTATGATGGTTGCGAGCGTTTCCATGACCATGTTAAAGCAATCGGCCAACGGCATCAATCTGCGATCGTCATACTTCAAAGTATTAGCTCCGCATCTATGAAGCGCGCGGTCGGTGTAGAACTTATAAATGTGTATATTTATTACGCGACTACAATATATATATATATATATTGAGCCTAACCTAATCTTAAGGTACACCGACTCGTATTATGATTATATTGTCTAACCTTCTTAAATGTATTAAAATAAATTAATGGCTTTGTAAATAATAAAAATAAGCATTATATACTTCCATTTAAAAATCGGATATAACATTTTAGGTTGTTTCGAATGATTACGCATTGTAAGAGTAAGACTGAGTTAATAGTATATATTATTATGAACTGGAATTTACTAGTACAACTATTATTGACTCATGAATTAATTTTTAATTAACCACAATTAATTATGTTAATATTCACCTCATTGATTATTATTTTAGGTATTTTAGGAACGTATCTCTTATTATGCTATAGAATACTATAGCTATATTACCCGACTTCGTCCGGGTTAAAATTAATTTACCTCTATCATTTTCTGTTTTACTTCTTATTAGAAACATGAAATATATTAATTTACAAACACTATTGAATTACAACTTAATGATTTTCTACTTGTTAAATGTGGACATGTTTTCGATATAAACACAAAAAACCATTGTAACTTAATATCGTAAGAATTATAAGATTCGTGTTTATTTTTACGAGTTAACATCAAAAATATGCCAGAATTAATAAAACAGGCTATGATTGTACTTCATATACGTAATACGTAAATAATCATTGTAATTGTGTTCGTATAAGTATTAAGTAACCACTTAAATAAACAAAATTATAATCAATTTTCATAAACCAATAGTAAGTTCATAAGTGAGTTAATCTATAAAAACCTATTGAAGTTGAAAAATAAGTTATAAGTCTATAAATAGTATAAATGCAAGAATTAATTAATTTAATTTTTATTGAAAAGTCAATCACGTAACACAATTACAACAGATAAATAGAAAGATTATACTAAAGTCTACAAAGTATACTGTTATAGTAAAAACCGAACAGTCTCAATTTTTTAAATCGTTAAAATAGTAAGATATCAATCAATATTTAAAAAAAAAAATTGTATACTTGGATATTAAATGAGCATCAGTGGCGCGGGCGTCATTTAAATGTTTAATACAAAGGTAAAAAAGTTTTGACTATCCTTCAGTGAATAAAAAAAAACTGATTGTTTCGCTCACAAGTTAATTTCCACTTACAATATTAATTATTATCTCAATACAATAAATTACCATCTTCAATAAATGTACGTGTTATAAACAAAATTAGCCTAATTTTATAGCAAAAAAAAAAAAAAGTAGAGTAGCAGTGTTTTTTTGATTATTTTTTTTTTTAATTTAAAACATGCCTACTATATTTAACAAAAACGAGTATGCCGATATGTTGGCAGTTTTTAATGAAGTAGGAAGGAGTACATTAAAGGCATCTCGTTTGTACTTACTACGATACCCTCAAAGGAGACAGCCATCAAGAGCTACTTATGCGAACATAGATAAATGTTTACATGAAAAAGGTAATATTAAGGATTTAAATATTAATGCTTGATCATAAAATATGTATAAGTGTAATTGTGTTAAAATTAATACTCAATACAAGTTATTAGTTAATACAATATCTCGTAAAAATAATACAAAAATTAACTTTAAAAGTAGTTATAAAATAATTGCGGGTGAGAATGCAAAACATACTATTTGTATTTTACATATTTTTCAGGAGAGGTCATTTTTTACTGTGTATTAAACAAATAAGATATAAATGTTGCTAAAATGTTTAAAAATAAATAAAAATCTAATAAATACATTTCTGTAGGTAAAAGTATTTTAAAATGTATTTTTTTTACTTAAATATAGCATGTTATATTTTGAATTGGATCAAAACGTATTATTTGTAACAAAAAGTACATTTTGCTTTGATTAACACAAATAGTACGTTTTGAACAACATTTTTACAAAACGTTCTATTTCCATAAATTCAATTGTATAATGAATATAGTTTAATATATTTTTAAGCTGAGAAATTGAAATACTTTGACTCAATTAAGTGTTATATTAGACTTATAAATTTCAATTAAATTTCTATAAGTTAAGAAAATATATAATACATAGGAAACTGGTAGCATCTATTAATTATGTAGGTGGTGAAAGGAATACATGTTGGGTATAGTAAATATATTTAATATAACTTGTTTTTTAATAGCTTTTAATGAATAAAAACTAAAACAAGATAAATAAAATATTTTAAGGAACACTTTCAGTCTTGAAAAAGTAAAATAGAAATAAACATTAAAATAATAAGTATTAAAAATTGAAAATGTAAAATTAAAACAAAATAACAAAGTGAATAAAAATATATTTAAGGAACACTTTCAGACTTGAAAAGTAATAATAGTATATTATTATGAATAAAAAAGTATAGTAAAAATAACTCAATCATCATCTTCATCATATAATATTTTCTTGCTCTTCGTTTCCAACGTCTTCACTATTTTTGAAGATATCTTCATAAATTTTTAATTTAGATTGGCAAGTTGATAATATATTAAACAAAAAACTTTTATCATATATTAAAACCATCTTATTTAATAAAATTTAACATTAAAAAGAATTTTTGGACAACATCGTTTTTGATAATAGTACGTTTTGCATCCATACATTCTCCGTCCTATACCATTTACACGGGAAAATAGTACATTATTTTACATCATCGATGGAAATTGTACGTTTTGAAAAAATTGATGTAATTAGTACGTTTTGACAACATTCTTTCAATTTTTATCATGGAATCTATAGAAAATAGTACTTTGGCTTCAAACAGTAAATAGTTCATTTTGACAAAATTTATATTGTGCAAATAGTACGTTTTGCTTCAATTGACTATTTTAAAATCGGTTAGTTTAGAATCTAATTTTATTATATAATTGTTATTTTATAAAATTGTTGAGATATAATTTTATGTACAAAATGCTAATAAAAAAAAAAGTTACGAAATCATTCTTAAATACACATAAAATACACATATTTAATAATTATAAATGTGTATGTGTTAATAATTAATATTACCAATTATAAATATTGCTAATTTGTCACATTAATTGTCATGTATAGATAAGCATTAAAACCTGTGGTGGAGTGGCCCACCGGGATACTTGGAAAAATCCCGCTGACCTGTAAGCTAAATGGGCCGTTGGCCTGAAGTAAAAATGGAAAAAAGCTATGAAAATAGTGTAAAATAATGTGAAAAGTATATTTATCTATACACAAAAACAAAATGATATTAACAATTTAATAAATAATCATTTTTATATTACTTTTTATATTTTGAATTCTGATAAATTATTCGATATGAATTTGCCGTAGCTTGTACATTATAGTCAGTGGTGTATCCAGGGGGCACGGGAGCCATGCCCCCCTCATTGGCATTATTTAATAGATTTTGTTTTAAAGATTTAAATTTATTTGTATGCATGAACGCATACTACAATAATACTCTTATACCAGCATTACATACACTTATAATTTTGTTGGGATTAACCCGTTTTTATTATTAAATTACTATTACTATTTATTATTATGTATATGTATATATATATATTAACTTAATGACTGACTGAAAATATAAACACATTATTTGCACTATAAACATTAAATATTTGGTTTATTTTATTTTTTTTTGTTTTTGGTAGTAGGTAGTATATATGGTAAAATTTTAGATAGTGTGTGCCCCCCCCCCTAAAAAAAATCCTGGATACGCCACTGATTATAGTATATACGATATACCCACGTTAGTATAGTACACATTATTTATTTTCATGATATTCCTCGAAGTTCTACAACACAATAATGTCTAATAGCATCGTGATTACGAGTCAAATATACATTTTTTCTTATTTTGTCATCAGAGAATCTATTTAACAGAATACAGGAATAGTGGAGTATCTTAATAGGTACTACATTAATACTTCAAACGTCTTAAATAATTCTGTTTTTAAATATTAAATATTTTCCAGTTTTATTCGAAACCAGTGATAATAAGAAAAAGAAAGGTGGTGCTAAAAGAGATAGAGACAAAAATAAAAAGTTGTTGATGTAAAATGGAAAACAATGTATAAAATTAGATTCATATTATTGAAATAGAAATTTACCTACACTTCTAACAAATACTGAAAATATCTCTAATTATAATGATTTATCATTTAAAAACGATCAAATTATTATATTGTAATAGAGGGTACCCCTTTGCGAATTTCAGCAGACATTTCTAGTTTTATAGCAAGAGTAGGGGCCGAGTCTGTAATATACTAAGTTAAAAATTCATACCGTATTTTTTGGAAAATATCAAAAAGGTTTTTCGCCGAATGTTGTGCTGCGCGTAATCCCGTACGTGACGTACATACCTAACTTTTTTTTTAAAGTTTATTTATTTTTTCTAATTAAAAAATTATGTTTGACGAAAATCAACGTTTTTCTTGTGTTATTTAATTAACTATTATTATTCAATATATTATAAATTAACACCAGAACACAAATTTAAAATTATTCTATGCGGCTTGTGAAAGTTTTACCTATATTAGTAAGATACTCTTGGCGCTTTTGTAACTCGAGTAAGAAAACCCACTTGGAACTTAGAGTAGAAAATTCAAATTTTTCGAAGAATGAACAAATAAATGTATAGAAATAAAAGTATATAAAATCACTGCAATATCAAACGAAATATGATTTGTGTGATAAAGTTTAGTAAATAATCGGTTTCATACATAGTTATCACTCGGAGTTTTATAATGCAAAATGTTTATACTTGTGTTTAGTTCATTATACTTTAAAATAAGACAAAAATATATCGAGTTAAATAATTTTGAACGTCTCTCGTGTTACTGAATTTGTGTATCTTAATGAAGTATTCGAAATATCTATGATTTATTTATCACCCATATTATATTCACTTCATAAATAGAATGTAAACAACAGTAATTTAAAAAAAAATAAAAAAATAAACTTAAATAATATTATTTTTGCTTAGTTGGCAATATTTAATTAAATAAATAAATAATTGAAAACATATTGTCGCTATTGTCAACCATATAGTGTTGAGGTATAAACGGCTTGTGAAATAACTGTTTGCATTTAGTATCGTTTCAGAAAGCACACCGTAC